TAATGTGTGAAATGTTGTTTCACTGGAGCCCATAATCTGTCAAGGTCCTGCCAGTGTGGCCTTTAGGAAGAGGCAATTAAAAACATCTCCTTTGCCATGGGGTCATAGCCCTTTCTTTAACTCAGCTCTAATAGAAAGGGTTTCTCTGAGATGGCTGATTTAAAGAAGAGAGAGAATAGTATACTATAGACTGTTGCTGCAGAAGTTGAAACTTAGCAGCACAGTCAGAGTACAAGCAGGGGATTGTTGAGTCTCGCAAGCATTAAAGCAAATGATGCAATTTGCAGAAGGGCTTTTTCTTATGAGGAGGTGACTGTGATTAGCTACATTCCTCTGGGAGGGAGATTTATGAGCTTTAAGCTTCTTTTGTTTTTGCCTGACCTACTGCACAAACTGAGTTTGGAAAAATAATAGTGAGGCGGATTATTACCAAGATAATTTAATACAGAATGAATCACTGTGGAGAATTTGCATGCTTTTGGCAGCCAAATAACAGTAGGATTCTGGATATTTAGTAAATAATAACTCCAATGTAACAGTGAAAATATAATAATATCAATTAAGCAATGTGCACACATTCTCTTTATGTTAAAATCATTAATACGATCTAAAATATATATTGTACAACAGCAATTACAATCTGATTTTAAATTCTATATAAGACTTTTTTTCCTCTGTCCTGTCTCCTATTGCTATGGTAACTGGGTCCTAACAGTTGACCTGATCTGGCTCTGTAGATTATCTAGAAGTAAACTCGGCAGGCCCTTACATATAATAGACAAATTTGTCCTGACAGTTTAACGTTAGGCTTCTTCATATTTGTAGACCAGTTAGTTTTTACTGGTCTTAGAGATGTCAGGTTCAGAGGCTGGACTTTGACTTGGTTTTGCTTTTGTGGTCTTGATGTAGCAATGGTGACGACACATACATCATGTTATATTTGATTAGAAATCAGTGGAAATATTGTCATTTTGAGACTAATTGTGAATCACTACTTAACAAATGATTGGTTTTGCCCACATTCCAGCTTGATTGCGCCACTGATGTTGTTCAAGTTACCTTACAGAAATGAAAGAAACACACATAGAGAGCACACTTCACACAACTCATTTAGTGTCTGACAAATGTGGAAATGACATTGTGTCTTTTGATTAAAGATGACATTCAAATATCATTGTCAGTTAAGCAACAGATAAACATCAATCTCAGAAAAATGTGATCATCAACCCCACCAAAATTATAATAGTATCAAGTTTTATCATGCGCCTTAAAGATATGACTTACAGCAGGGCTGTTGTATGGGATTGAATGAGATTGTACATGTGAATCTAATTAACTGGCATGAGCACTACATCATGTTAATTCATTAGGAGATAATTAAGTGGTGATCACGAGAACACAGAAGTGATGATTTAGTTTAGTTAACAGGCCAGAAAAGAGTTAAATTTTAATTTGATTTATATAGCACCAAATCTTTACAGAAGTTATCTCGGGTCACTTTTTATAGAGAGCAGGTCTAGACCGTAGTCTTCCCAATATCATTTATTATACTATATATATTAGTTACGGTCCAGTAAAGATCTGAGATAAGTATGACCAGTATTTGCAACTCTGGGATTTCAAACTATTCATCCCATGTGGAAAGAGGGGACATGTTCCTTCATGTTCCTACCTATGCTGTGTACCTATGTACTATAGATCTAAAATCTAGTCTTTGATCAGATAAGTAAATCCACGTGACTTTTTCAAAATCTTCACTCATAATACAGAGTGAGAGTCAGTAGTAATTGGTGATTTTCATGGAGTATGATATCTTTGTGGAGAGGATTTGTCACTCTATAAGGTCTATAAAGATTTGTTGCGCTACTGTAGCCACGAGACACAATATTGCCACACTCCCTGGAGTTTGTCTGTAACACTGAGTTATTGTCCTTGTCTCCTGAAGGGCAGATGGTATTCTGGTTTTGAATTACAATGTGTTCTCAGATAGACAGATCACAAGTTGTAGTTATCTGACAGCTTTTGAGAATTGAGTGTTTAAGTCTCAGAGTACTTTTCGCAATATAAACTGAACCCATTGCTTTTGAGAACCAGGCTACTGTATGTATCAGTTCATGCAATTGACATTCATACTGTGCGCTCAAATAAATACACACTTTTTCTCTTTTTCATTTTTGAAATCAAACAGAGAGAATGCTGATTATTGTGTCACATCAATCGGTTCTAAATTGAAATATAACACAACCCCTCCCATCACTCAGGAATCGCACTGAGACAGTTGTGTCTCTGTTGGATTCCTTTGTAACTGCCTGACGTGACCTGCACCAAAGACATGTCTCTTCTATGCTTAATTTAGCCTGGGATGACAGGGACAAAGGTTTGAAGTCTTCCTGAGCGACAGACTGTGTCTCCTCCTCTAATGGTTGTTTGAGTGTTATTATCATATGTAATATAGCTCAGAGTGAGTTTGTGCATCAAAACTGTGTTCAGGAAAACAACTGTTCTGGAAGACTGTGTTTGTGGTTTGGGTCTGGGGAGGAGCAGCAGGGTGATCAGGCAGTAATTATGTGTATAAATGCAGTTCAAGCGTATTTAAATCTTTTGTCAGTATCCACTGCAGCAAAATGGACTGAGACACACACAGTGAGAGAGCTAAGCTGATGGCCTGGCAGAGGAAATGTCATGACAGGCTGGTATATTTCAGACCCATAAAGAGTTTTGACTCTTGGTAACAAAGAAAGAAGTCACACTAAGCTAAATAGAGACTAATCATAGTATTGATTTGAATTTTAGTGCAAAAACGACTCTGAAAACAGAAATATTTTAAACCTTTTAATTGAATCAAATGTTATTTTGTGGAAATAATTTGCTTCTTTCCTTTCCCCTTCCTCTACCTCTTCTTTTCTTCTTCTCTTCTTTGTCCTCCTGCTTATCTTCTTTCCATTCACTTGTTGTTATTCTTCTCTTCCTTTCCCCTCCACTTTTCCTTTTTCCTTTTTCTCTCCACCTTTTCTCCTTCTCATTTTCCTCCTTGTTCCTCCTCCTGCTTCTTCTTCTCTTCCTTTTTATCCTTCTTCTCATCCCCTGTCTTCTCCAACATATTCCCTCCTTTTCTGCTGCTTTTCCCACCTTCTCCTCCTCTCCCTCCTTGCTCTTTATTCTTCTTATTTGTCTTTTGAATCATCGTTATTGTTATGTATCATATTATAGTAGGGCTGTCCCCGACTAAGGATTTAAATAGTCGAATCAGAATCATCAAGTCCTGCCTATACTCGACTGATAGTCGAATCGTGTGTTTTTGTGTACGCCGATCGCAAGTCTCTCTCTCACTCTTGTCTCTCTCTCTCTCTCCTGCATGTATGTCGCGGTTCCTTGTGGGTCCATTTCAAGTAGCTGGCTGTTTAAAAACGATAAAATATTCTTTATGTGGTTCATCAAATGATAAATTATCCGAAGGTCCCGCGAGGTGCAGACAACTCAGCACAACACCAGTGAAGCTGGGGCTCCGTCTCTTCAGCAAGTGTTCCTCCATTGCAACTACACACATACACACTACGCCTATACATGCGCACTGACGACCCGGGGTTAGGGTTACAATTTTGGATTTATTCACCCACTTTAAAAACATTTATTGATTTTTTTTTTCTTTTTATGTTTATTTACAGCATTAAACATTGAAATGTATATTGTAATAGGATGTATATTAACTTATTGGGAGAAAACTGGTAGTTCTATGTAAAATCAGACGTTGAGCACCCCCATATCGCCAAAATGGCATGATCCATGTTTTAACACGAAGCTTCGACTGTAAGATTGACTGACGAATCAGGCTCCACCCATCGAAGCATCGAATCTTTGACTATTGGGGGTCACTATATTATAGTATCTCCTCATTTTCCTAATTATGTTGGTTTCCGTCCAATCTGTCCACTGAAGTTCAGCTCAACCTGTGAGATTATTTTCTGATGTCCTGCTCCATCACAAACAGCTATTTATATCATTTCAGCTATTATCCATAGTAACATGCTTTATTTGTAGTATTTCTCCACAGTCAATACAAACCACAGTCCTCCCTTGTGCTGTCAGTAAATACTACAGGTGTAAATTCACTACACCTGGCACCGTGCCTGCACCACTGTATAGAGCCAATTCTCTTTTGTCCACAGATTACCATTAGACCATTCAATCCTTTCCCCTTATTGTACAATGGATTGAACCCTTGTTCCCAGATCTAATGGCAGGGCTGAACCGTTCTTAATATAATACCTTTGTTAGATTAGACAAATTAAGTCAACAGTAGCATCAGTGTCTTAATGCGAAAGAATAAGACATTATTTTGTTTGCCAAAGGGGGTACATCTGTGTCTGTCACTAAGGGACTGTTGTATTTTTGGGTTCATCTTTTGACCCATATTTGTCTGAAATGCCTGTGGTTGTAACCTTGGTTTTGTTTTCCAGCATAGATTGCTTTTGATTTAATATGTGTTTTTACAAAAGTCTTTCATTGTTTAACAGTTTGTAGACACTAATAGAAGCGATGGCTTTGTGGTCAAGCTTCTCTGTGATCTAAATTCTATTATCAACCTATATGGCCATTGTAATCCTTAATCACATAAAAGTGTGCTTTCCTTAACAGTTCTTTTCTATTTTAGCAGTTTTGATATTTGCCTTATATTACATGCAGGATACAATGACAATAAAAATGACATTGCTGCTAATACTGCATATATACATTTATGTTCCTAATAATAAGTATACAAATATACTGGTTGATATTATCTTATTACCAATATATTGGTATCTGCATAATTAGTATCTGATAAATGGCAAGTAATTACATTTTCTTTTCATCTATATTTTAATGCTTACAGCCAGCTACTATCTAATTATTCCTGCTGCCTTGTGTTGCATTGCATCACTGTACCTTACAACATTTAAGGCTGTTGCAGAGTATTGTGTGATGCTGACCCATCCTCTACCTTTCTTATTTTGATTGCTCAGGAGTTTGCTGCGCTGACCAAGGAGCTGAACGCCTGCAGGGAGCAGCTGCTGGAGAAGGAGGAGGAGATCTCTGAGCTCAAAGCCGAGAGGAACAACACCAGGGTGAGGACTGACTGCATTGATGCACATCTATAATCATTTACTAAAGTGAACATTCTGCCACTAATTAATCTTGCCAAAGTTGTTAAATGTGCCACTGATTTAACGTGACAATCACGTTCATGTTCAGGTTCAGGTTCACAGTCTGAGGCATTCAGTAGCTTCTGGGCAAAGGCAGGAAGTTTATGATTATGCTTGTTGCTTCTATATCCAACCCTGTTTAATTTGCATTCAACAAGTTCTTCTTAAGTTTCACAACTTGCCCCAAATTCTCATGTCAGCTGCAAAAAACAACTGCACAATGCGATAGACAGTGTCCTGAGAAAGCTTAAGCTATCTAGTGGGTACGGTTTTAAGGCTGTGGAAGCACTGAAGCAAACATGTGCACTGTCTGTTTCCAATTCCCAGACATACCTCATTTGCTCACCACATTCTGCCTGAATATTTTTCCACTTACTTCACATGGATGGCTGCTCAACAGTAAAACTAAGTCCAAATGCCACTGATGCCCTGCAGTGTCCAGGTCAAAGAATTTGGGGGTGAAAAAACAACCAAAGACTTTAGCTTATCAGCCCGATTATGTGGAGCTGAAATCCTGCATCTTCAATAAGAAACATTTCCTTTTTTTAAAGCTGTAAGCACACTCTGCTGTTGACAGATAAGACTCTGTTTTCCATCCCACTGCTGATTAAGTGTGGATTTACAGTCCTGCACTATCTTTCAATGGATGGAGGCACAATATTTTAGCACAACAGCGACTGAGAAAAACAGATGGGGGGTACATGAGCTGCAAGAAACAGGCACAGACAAAAGTCATTTTCACTCTCTCACTTTATTATCACCTCAAATCTTCCACTGGGCAATTACCAAGCAAACTTTAATTAAGCTGGGTTTTGTCGCTGGTATGGTACAGTTTATAATTAAATCTCCAAAGGCAAGTGCAGGCAGTCAGTGGACTGGGGATCTGGCAACAAATGTGATGACAGTGGAAACTTTATTGGTTGTTTAAGATGCATTCAATTCATAGACTCGAGCCATGCAGAGACATGATCAGAGAGGAAAAAGGATGAAAATATTTACTGAACTGAAGGAGACTGATTGATTCAACTGTGGGCATTTTGTTGAGTGTGCAGGAGTACATACAGTATGTAGACATGATGGCTACTGATGAGAGTCTAAGAGACAGTTATGTCAGGCAGACAAGAGAAGAGACGGCACTCAGTCTCCTACCAACTACAACGTAGGTCTGCATGGGGTCGTATTTCAACCCTGCATGCACATATTCCTACAGGATTTCCAACTGGTAACACCCACTCCTGCAGAGATTCTGATCACTTCCACCTGCTAAAATGTTTTTTATTGAAAATGTACCTGCCTCAACCTGCAGGAAATACCAGACACATACATTTTGCTTGTGCAATGGGAACAAAGAGGGGATAAAATATTATGCATTGTGTTGTTAGTAATGTGCAATAGACTTCATGTTACTGATTAGAATTGGATAAGTGACAATTTTAGCGCATGCATGGTTAAAGGAATAGTTTGATATTTTGGAAAATTTGCTTATTCGCTTAATTGATAAGAGTAACATGAGATGATCAATACCAGTCTTGTGCCTGTGCGATAACTATACAGCTACAGCCACCAGCCGCTTAGTCTGTCCATTCAGAATGTAGCTGGAGCCAGCAACTGGTTAGCTTATCTTAGCACAAAGACTGGAAACAGGGGGACAGCTAGCGTGACAGCCTTACAGACAGAGACTTTAAATTAGTACCAATCTGAGCAAGAAAGTGAATACCCAAAGTGTATTTCCCAAAGTGCCAAAGTATTTATTTAAACCTTTCATATTTTCATATATGAATTTTTATCCCACAATAATGCTGCTGAATTGCAGCTACAAGACCTACAAGTGATGCTTGGTATGACGGCTTCTATCACTGACACAAACCACAAATATATAGAATATATTAGATCAACGGTGTTAGTTGTCATTCACTTTACTTCAGTAACCTATCTGTGTTACTATGTAACACGCGTCATGCTCGCCTACCTGCTAATCAGGCACGCCCTCAAAAACAACAGAAGTGTGATGCTTCACTCTGTAGATAAAACGGAGCGTACAACACAAGGTGAAAAGAGGTGCTGCAGCACTGTGCAGTATGACAAAAATATGCTGTTTTTTTTTTTATTAAACTATGTAAACATATTGTGGTACAACCCCTAAATATAAATATGAACCTGAAAATGAGCATAATATGACCTCTTTAATCACTTTATTCTACATGTTTGGTTTATATACTGTATTTATTTTCAATTTTCTTGAATATAGTATTACTGTGTAGTGTTTCAGAAAGAACATTTGTTTAGCTTTGTTAAAAAATGCAGCCTTTTTTAGTTCACCAGGGATACCAACTGGGAACTTGGATTCACAACCAGTGGTTAACTCCAGAATACATTTTAATCCAGCTGCAGCTTGTTCGGCAAACTTCCAGCGGTCAATGTTTAGACCAGTGGAGCGAAGGTATGAAGCCAGGTTTTCAAAGAAAGAATGGGGAGATCATTTTGAATTTTACCCTCTAACCAGATCATTATCTCTGGGATATAATATTATGTCCTTGGAGATGTGAATCACCACGAAACAGTGTATCCATAATCCAGCACAAATAATGATATATATATGTAAGATATGATCCCAGTCCGTCTCCCAATCACATCTTGGTCCTTTACTCCAAGTTGTTTTTACTGGGTACCTACCTTTTTTCCCTGAAGTCAACCCCCAACTCTGCATCTCATCTTGTCTGTCCTTGTGAAGCTTTCTGTTGGCAGTTGACTTGACATGCCACCTAGAAACCTTTATTAGCATAATCCCGTTTGTGCACTGCTGGAAGTATTGCAATTAGTAGATTTGAATGACTTTTTTGCATCTTTCATACCTTTAGTCTGTAAATTATTGGTACGATAACATTTTCTCAATGCACACCTGTTACAATAGTTTAGATTGTGACTCTTAATAGCACAAATAAATTGAATTAACAATTTGTATCAAATCATCTAGATGATGATAATTATAACAATGGTAATTGAATGTTGATGATAAAAAGGTTGGCTGCGTGCCATACTAGCAGAGCAAGCTAGCAAACAAAATGTCTGCCGTCTGACTTGGATTACATTTGTAATTATGCTGATTTGTCTTTAAGTTCTACGAGCGAACCTGATGAAGTACACATGGGTGCATTGTTTATTCTTCCAGTGGCTGCAAATTTTTTTTTGTTAAGTGGATCTCAAGTTGAGTTTTGGTGTGTAGCAAACCCTTTCTAATTTGAGATTCTATCACATGATGCATACATTTTACCAGCACTTGACTCAGGAGGATGATTTCTACTTTTCAGCTTTAACAGTGATTTCTCATGTGTGTCTCTTCAGCTACTCCTGGAGCATCTGGAGTGCCTGGTGTCCAGACACGAGCGGTCACTTCGTATGACAGTGGTCAAGCGGCAGGCTCAGTCTCCCTCGGGAGTCTCTAGTGAAGTTGAGGTCCTCAAAGCACTCAAGTCCTTGTTTGAACACCATAAAGCCCTCGATGAGAAGGTAAGTCTGCCTCCATTTTGATTTTAAGGTTTCTGCCTAAGCCGCGTATAGAGTAGCATCAGGAATCCACGTGTCTGCTGTATCTTGATGTTATGTCATTTAGTTGTTTTACATTTGCAATTTGCTGTGTATTCCTGTTGTCATTTGTTGGTTTTTGCCCCAGCCACAGCATTTCTCCTTCCTCCTCACAGCCTGCTGATTTGTGACCTTAGCCCCCTGTGTGAAATCTCATCTGCCCCATAATCCATTCATCCTGTCCTCTAAAAGCCATCATTTATAAATAATGTTCAATGGCGTGCTGTTCAAGGGAATAAAAGCTATCTTGGGCAGCTGGGGGGCCATCCTGACTTGGACCATGGCTAACTTCAAATCCAGCATCAACCTCCTCTGAGATTTGGCACCGTAGCCACGGTGGTACACAGTCACCACGCGGTGCGAGTAATTTTTCCATCACACGCGACAATCCTAGAAGAAGACTAGTACGTTCTGAGTTCACAGAGGAAGAGAGGAGAGCAGGAAGAGAATCTCCTCCCAGCAACTTGTGCTTTAAAAGCAATAAAAGCATCATAATGTTGCTTTGAAGACAGAGCAAAGTGTCTTTGTAAGGCTACGGGAGGAAAAGAGGACTTTCTGTTGCAGCAGCAGGGCTTCTTTTCTGCTGTGTTAACCCTTGATATGTTAGACTGGGATTAAAAAAATAGTGCATTTCTCTGCCAGACTCTTTGCTATCATTCCAGCTCAGTGCGCATGTAAATAAGATGGTCCATTAGAGAGGAGATCAGCAGGCAGATCATGATACATGATTGTTTGTTTTGATTTTTAGGTAAGAGAGAGACTACGGGTGTCACTGGAGAGGGTTTCTGCCTTGGAGGAGGAGCTCACAGCAGCCAATCAGGAGGTAAGAGCAGCTATGTTTAAGATATTTAATTTTGTTATATATTTGAATCTTCTTAGTGCACTATTTGTGGTATTGTATCCTCAATGGTGATGAATGGATGGATGGATAACAAAATGAAGTGAAGTCCTCTATGCCAAGTAGTTGCTCACAGGTTATTTTTATTGTAAAATATAGCATTTCAATTTCTCATTTTTTTCCAGATTGTTATGGGGAATTTGGATTATCACAGTAACACCAAATAACATACATGCATAGTGTATACTATATGTCTATATATATGGAAATATATGAAAAATGGAAACATGCTGCATGAATAGGAATGCAATATAACCCAGATGTACATGGTAAGCTGTTTTATTTTTAGAATCAATGCTACAAATGCACAGTTCATATTTACTGATAAACAAAAGAAAGACATGTTTAAAAAATATATATCTAAGAAGAATCAAAGTTAAAAGTATGGAAACAACAATATGAAAAGTCTGCATACTAGATACTGTAGACATGTAATGTATGATGTAGGATGTAAACACATACCGTGATGCGACCTGAAATGTGTCCAGAGATGTGTCTTGAATTATGTAACTCAAACACCAAGAAACAACACGAGCACCTCTGCAGGCTTCACTCACCCTCGTCTTTACAGGGAATAACACAAAATAACATTGTGCACATGAGTGGATGATTCATAGCGCTGACAAAAGAGTGGCCACTTTTAGTATGGTGGCATAACTCCTTCTCAACCTCCTGTCTCAAGCAGGCACAAGTGCCAGAGCAACTCTTGCAGTGCAGATGGTCCTGTTCCAGCTGAGAAAAACCCTCAGGCTGACAGCAGACATGCCAGTCTGACACTCAGGCCTAGAATAAAAGTTGGTGAGGAGAGAAGAAGAAGGGAAAACGGAGTGAAAAGCAGAGGGGGAGAGGTTGGTGTGTGGAGTGGGTGGAAGGACAGACAGTGAGATCGGGTTGGAGAGAAGAGGAAATGCAAAAGAGCAAAGAGAGGCAGAAGACAGAAATAGAGATGGCAGGTGGGAAGAAGAAGCAATGTGTGTGGTGGTGTGTGTTAATAAGAGTGCAGGGGTGCAGGTGGTCAAAGCACATCTGACAAGGTGTGGAGGCAAGAGGGTGAAGGTGAGAAATTTGAGTAAGGCTTAACAGATAAACTAATGATGTGTTTGGATGGAACAGTAAGTAGATGGACGAGTTGCTTGTGTTCTAAACCACAATTGGACGGTGAAGGATCTGTTCAGAAAGGGAGCGAACGGGGGGCACTGAACAGTTAAAAAAAAAAATAATGCGACAATCTATTTTTTCATTTACAGCTTTGGGACAAAGTCCGCTTTTCAAACTGTAAAGTCTCTGACAAACATCTCAGTCGGGACGTAGCACTTTGAAGAATTTTCTCACACCACAGCGAGGCTAGGCTTGAAAGATCATACAGTACATCTGCGAGGCTGTCCCTCATAAATGGTTAACACTACTACACTTGTCAGTGCGGTGGACAGATGAGTGAGTGGACTTTGAGGCAGTGAAAGAGGCAGTTAAACTGGCTTTGCCGATTAAAAATGTCCACACCTCAGAGGCTCCAGGGAAGCAGGCAGAGCCAAGTGCCAGCAAACTAGTAATTGATTTTTGATGGAGGTCTGGTATGAGTCCCTTCTCCCTGCAGGGGTTTAGACAACACAGCCCTACCTGATGAAATCATCGGCCGTTGACCTGAAGCAGTCACAGGTGTTTAAGTGGCCACACACTGATTGCTGCTGCTGATTGCAATTTGCTGTTATTGAACAAACTGAAACAGTGGGAATCTGAGGATACACATTTGTTGTTTTTTGACAACAATCAACACTGTGACACATTTTGAAAAAACTTCAATATCGAAGTGCAAGGGGTATCTCAGCAACAGCAAATTTGCACCCTTAGTCTTATCACAGTTTTAACAAAACAGATACAAAATTATACCTAATAAATCAACAATAATAATAATAGAACAAAAAATAGAATATTAGAAAAAGATTATCTTAAATAAACAATCCAATCAAACAAATATATAATATAATAAACTACTTGGAGTGACTTTAAAAATCTTAGCAGACTTAATAATAAATAAAAAAAAAAATTTTAATTACAGATTGCAGTGCAGATACGATTTCCATAGGTAGAAGTTACCTACAATAAACCTTTATGCCATCAAGTATATTATTAAGCCCTTCAGAAAAAAAAACAACTGTTATTGTGTTATTTATTAAGAGTTTAATGCTCAAAAACTCAGTTTGATTGACAGTGGTATGTCAACATGAGCAAACAACTGTCATCAGATTATTTTCAAATGCCGCTTTATCCTGATTGGTGCACAAAAGTCTGTGACATCACCGTTTTTCTAAATAAGTCCCGGCCAATTCAAACTAGTGAGAGGAACACGGCAGAACAGCAAATCCAGAAATATCTCATGTGGAAAGTGATTGTTAGGCTTTTAAAACAAAAATGTTCACCTTAATACAAGTGTATCTTTTGCTTTCAGGATTTGTGTACGTGTGTATATAATGTGTATGTACTGTATGTGTGTTCACATGCATTTGCTCCAAAGCTTGTGACTGATTGTAATTTAAGCGCATTGCACCAGAGACTTGCATGCCCCCAGCTCTCACCTTGACAAAATCAATCTTTTATACTCTAAGAAACCCCCCCAACCCTCTCTTCACTCCTCCTCACATTTGTCCAATCTCTCCTTGAATACATTACCTCAGACAGTCCTCTCAATCCAACACAGAAGTGCTAAAGAAAGATAAGGAAATGGTGATGCTGTGCAGTGGAAAAGCCCACCTCGTGCTTCTTGTCCCCTCCCTTTCCGTCAGATGTCTGCCTCTGATGAGTGGTAGATCAACAACATCAAAAAGAAATAATAGGCGCCATGTTCATTTTGCATCTGGCAAACTAGTCCTTTCTGTAATTTCCGAGCTGGAGAAGCATCTGTAGCAGTCCATCATTTGTTGATTTGTTGTGCCTGTATGTCAGGGATGGTGTTAGTGTTTGATCTCTGAGCTGGAGAAATTAGAAACAGTCTCAGAATAATGGTTTGGAAATATACGGAGGCATAATGATGCCCTCGTTAAAAATAATGAACAGAGACGTTCTGTAGTGAGTGAGCAACAGCATAGAAGAAGCCAAGCTTTTGCAGGTGAGTCTGATGGTGCAGAATGAACATCCAAGCTTAATGTAAAGTAAACTTTACAAGGATGGATTATACTGCCCTTACTCCCCACTTTAAAGAAGTTCTGACATGAACTGACTCTCACTTTGATGTTAGTGATTGCAGGTTAGGATCAAGTCACTTGAGAGCACTGTTTGTTTTATTAACAGTCATGACACTGATGGTCCTGCGGCTCCCTTCACTTTTTCATTCACAGCAAATATCTGGTGTTGAAAGAGTAGCAATTTTCTTTCTTTGTACAGAAGAGCATATTATCAAGCAACAACAACAAAGATGGTCTCCCAGGCATTGTATTATCAATTAATTTTGATGCAAACAGTGTGAATAAAGGTGAAAGTACTTTTTTGTCACATACACATTGCAAAATTCATTCTCTGCATTTAACCCATCCCTGTAGGGAGCAGTGAGCAGCCACTGTACAGCGCCTGGGGACCAACTCCAGATTGAATGCAGTGTCTGGTGAAACAGCACTGACTGGAGAACCAACCTAACATGTTTTTGATGGTGGGAGAAACCCACACAGACACGGGGAGAACATGTAAACTTTTACACAAACTTTTAAACTTTTAGAAAGGCCAGGATGACCAGGGTTCAAACTCAGGACCTTCTTGTTATGAGGTCACAGTGCTATCCCCTAGGCCACCATGCTAATAAAACTTTAGATTATATTGTGATGCATCTAATAACAGATGCTAGTTGAGGTTGAGGTTATTATCTAAAATTAAACCTGTTTTATCTTTTGATCTTTTTGAGCATGTGATTCATGCTTTTATCTCGACCTGTTCCGACTACTGTAATGCACTTTACATCGGTGTGAACCAAACCTCCCTCTCACGCCTGCAGTTAGTCCAGAATGCAGCTGCTCGTCTTTTAACAGGAACCCTGAAATACAAACACATTACCTCACATTGGCCTCACTCCACTGGCTCCCTGTACATTTTAGAATACATTTTAAGATTTTAATGTTTTTTTTTAAGTCACTTAATTGGTTGGCACCTCAGTACATCTCTGAGCTCCTGCACACTTACACCCCGCCAAGGTCACTGAGGTCTGCTGATCAGCTCGTCTGAACGTGCCCAGGACCAGGCTGAAGACCAGGGGCGATCGATCTTTTTCAGCAGTTGCCTCCAAACTGTGGAATGACCACCTCACATTAAAGTGGAGCCCAACCTCCACACCTTTAAATCTCATTTAAAAACAAATTTTTATTCCCTGGCTTTTAATTCACCATTGCTGTTCTTCATTGTATCATGAGCATTTTCATCTCTGTAAAGCACTTTGGTAACCTTGTTGTTTTTTAAATTGTGCTATATAAATAAAGTGGATTGGACTGGATTGGATTGAACAAAAAATAACTAACATTATCAATAGAATGTGAACAAGGAACAGTTCTGACATTATGTCAAAGACATTTATGTATTGTGTTGCAGAGATCTTATGAAGGTCTTATGAAGTTAGCATGTTAATCAGCTAACCCCGCCCCCTGCTGTGTTGTAATAATACTTGTGCCTCAAGAGGTGAGTGTCCAAAATTATTTCAGGGTTTACAGACTTGCATCAACTTTGACCTATCTTACTTACAGTATTTGTGTGTACACAGTTTTCCTGTGCGAGGAGGAATTGGTAAAAATTCCAACTGAAGTGCTTTAGATAATTTGGCTAAACTGCTGGCCTCTTAACTACATAGCTGATGGTCTGACTGCTCATAGTTCTTGTTTTAAGGAATCTCAGCAATTACTTTGGTGAATACAGTCTTATTATAATCAGTAGAAATGATGGCCAAAAGTATGAAAATAAAACCTAAGTTGCAATTAACTTGAGTTGAACCTGGGTCAAGGGTGGACAAAAAAGGGGTGGCCACGTATGAGTTGTGACTTCATAGTTTGTTTTCTCTCAAAAAAAGACAAAATAAACTGAAAACTAACCAAAAGGGTGTATGCTAGGGAAAAGAGAGAGAGAGAGACTGCTGCCAGCTTGTATAGAGTAGTCAGGCAGACAGTCCAGGTGATCTGAATCTTCCTGATTACCCAACTCCACCTTTGAGGTCCCTGCAGAGAGAGGCTTGGCCAGCCTGTAGTGGGGTTCACACTAAAGCTGCATGGTTTACCAAATTACTACAGTGTTTTTCAAGCTGCACTGAAGGAATCACTTTTAGGAGGAGTTCTGTTTCACAAAAAGTTGACATTTTTAATGGTGTGGATGCTTCAAATTATCTTAATCCCACAAGTTTTAGATTCTGGAACGTCTTGTTTTGGCAAGTACAAGAGGCACCACTAAGTCTCAGGGGTTTCGAACTGTTTATGAGAGACAAGTAGCAGCAACAAATACACAGAATACTTTTCTCTTCCCCTTCGTGAGGAGAGTGATAATCACATGGTGTCTGTAAAGGAAGAACCTAATTATTGTTGTCGGTCACCCCTCTGACAGGATTATGACTTTAGGACTGTTGGTGGTGAAAGGCGACACGAGGTCCGCAGAACATGTTAATTATGGTGATTGTATAAGTGCTTCCAGCTTCATGTTGGTTGAAGCCTTGTTCCATAAATTCCTGCAGAGAGGGACATACAGTAATTTACTGGTATTGCATAAGGGGGAAACCTCACTAGTTAACTGGGGGGCTGCAGTTATGCATGTATGCTGATGTGCTAATTTCATGTTCAGACACTGATATTTCAACAGGTTCTGCTTGTATTCACAGCCACATTGAAGGAAATACGATGATACTCTTGTTTTGATTTTAGCTTTCTTGACCTCCAACATGAACATATTCTATGTGTATGCAGGCATTCTGACATTGTGCCTATTTCAGCTCTAATCTGTGTGCGTGTTGCCATCCTGCAGATTGTGGCCTTACGGGAACAAAATGCCCACATTCAGAGAAAAGTTGCTTCTGGGGAGGGAGGAGAGGACATTCTGGAGGGCAGTGAAACTCAACAGAAGGTCCATAGCAAGGTGAGCTTCCTCAGGAATAAAAATGTAAAGTGTTTTTTTTAAACCTGTGGATGAACACACACGTTTTTGTTATAACCTTCTACTGGCTGAAAAAGTGGATACTGTTATCTTATCAATAATTGGGCACAACACTAGCACAATTTATTATGGCATCTTACAATCTGGACAGAGCTAATATAAGAAATACATTATTTAGGTACTGATTTCACAACTGTTTTGTATAAATTTTTTCTGGTTACATGACTAAATGCTGTTTCAAAACCTTTTCCACACTGGCAGTATTGCTGTAGAATTTCTGTAGAGACACTAAATTATTTGTCTTTTAAAGTCACCTCCAGTTGAGGAATGTATCGTAAAATAGGAATACAACTAGGGATGGGGATCGTTAATATTTATTTATGTTGATACCTTTTATTGAGTCTATATCGATACATCTATCGATATTTTACTATTATTTGGTGACGGTTATTTGGTAAGCCGAGACCCTACAGACATGAGGTAGGCCTGCACAGTATGTGGAAAATATTCAATGTGCGATAACATTGTTATATTTTGAGATGACATATGACTTGCGATAAATAAACAAATATTGAAGTGTGCATATTAGCTGACTGGTTGTTTTTTAAATAAAATATAGGATTAGAATTTAATATTTTAAATGCTGCAAGATTAATGTTTGGAACAGCAACGTCACTGTATAAACTCAATATCTGACTGAGTAACGTTTAGAAAGAATGAAGAACTCAAATCAGTAAGCATCTTCCTCCTCCTCTCTGCTGTTATTCACTGCCTGCAGGTAACATTACCTGGTTGAAGGAGGATGTTTGTCACAGCCAGCAGCTGAGTTTACAACAATGTGCCTAAGTGATGATTTTCAGATTTTGAGAGAGTTTGGAACCAGGTCCTTTTTAGAACCGGGTATCAATCCCCATCCCTAAATACAACAAAAGTTCTTAAGTTCTTGAGACAATAATTCTTGAAATATTACAATATATGTAACTGATATTAAATAGGGTGTGGGTAATTTTTTAAGTGAAGAGGACATGATCTCTGTAAGTGTGGATGCAGCTTAGGTTTTATATGGTCCAAATATTTACACAATATTAAACATGTACCTGTCGTTAAAACATAGATCTGGGCTGTCATACAGTATATCATCTACAATGTCAAAATCACTCAGTAATTTTTGTCTAGCCCACTGATTCAGTGGTTTGTGGAATTACGCAGATAATTCCCACACATTTAGATCAATTTAGTTGTCAGTATAACACTTTAAAAAATAACAAATGTCATTAAAAGGTTTTGATCATACCTTTAGCTCTGCTGGTGTTCTGAAGGTGACCCAAAGTCAGGGGAGAGCTCTTGCTGTGACCTCAGCCTCTTCCATTATGCAGGAACACACGTGTACGTGCATACTGGGAGATCTGAGATCCAGATGCATCTCCAGAGAGCTGAATACAAATTTCCCTCTGATTATTAATTTAAAGACAGTGGTGTAACTGCATCCACATTCACTAGATTATACAGAACAGACACTGCATCAGAAACCAAAACAACCCCGAATCCCAAAGCAGACTTCCTTTTTACATGCAGGCAGCTGCATCTACATCTTACAGAGGATACCTGGGTAGATCAATGGAGATGCTATTACTTGGCTGGTATGGTGGAGGGGTGGGGGTTGGGGGAGGTATGGCGGGAGTAAAAAGAACAGTGTGCTGTGCAGAGGGATGGGCTAATGAGAAGACTGTTATCAGCTGCCCTGTTTTAGGATAAAAGGAGTGAATATGAATTTTTACTTGTGTGTATGTTTGCAAAAGAAATTGCATGTGTGCGTGTGTTTACTGTTAAAATGTGGTTAGGTGAGAGTGAGGGCTAGTTATTCCGTGTCGCTGCAGCCACAGGGACGGACAGACGTGTTATGGGGTGTACGACAACCCTGATCTGCAGGACGCATTTCTGCTTCGAAACACAATCCTCACCGCCTGATTCGCACATGCCCCTTGGTTATCATTAATGTGACAGGTGGAAAGAGGTCAGTGAGAGGGGAAGGAGGAGTCAAGAGTGAGAGAGGACTGAAAAAAGTGCAGCTCTTGAATTGCATATTGACCCATCATGCTCTCAAACCTGAGACCTGCATCTGCCTGATAACCAGCTAATGCAGTCTGACCGATGAGGCCTGTTGCTTCAACATTTGAATTTTTCATTCTGTAAACATTCAGCACTGAACAGGTGCTAGATTAGTTTCATTGCTCATCCCTCCTTGAACAGATTTACTAACACACTCTAGACTCGGCTTACCTTTTTTTTTTTTTTTTTTTTTTTTTTTTACTTTATTAAACAATAACTGACAGATAAATGAAACATTTTAGGTAGGACAGCAAGCAACTTTTCTCCAATCTTTGAATCAAGCTTAATTTACTCCAGAATGGGGAAAAACCGAAAAATGCAAGATCATTGAAAGATCATTGTTATTAACATTATTGTGTTATACTGTATATTTGTAGTGGTTTAAGTTAAACTGAGTACAAACATGCTATGTTAGGATATGGTATGGTTTTTATCTATTCATTAGAAGTCTAAATGAAATGACATGAAAAAGGCATTAGTCTCAAAATTATATGCAAATGCTTGGTTCAACAGAATAACACAGAAAATGAAGAATTTATTTATTACATAAAATTAGTAATACTATAGCTGTCAAATAAATCCCCCTGAGATTTCTGCCTCCTGTGCATTGTCCTACACCTTTGATTATTTACGCTCCAGCATGTACTGTACAAAATGGTATTGTATTGCCTGCCTTAAATTGTGTGATGTGACGTTTTGCTTATTTTACACATTAGTCCTAATTTTCCAAATGTGAAATGAGCACAATAATGGGAGCCACAGTTGCGTAATATATTATCTGTGGGACTGTTGAGACATTTTGCAATAAAGAAGAGCTAAATCCTTAAAGTTGGTCCTTTTTTTATGAGAACAGTTCAGTGCGTATTAAAATCAGTGGTGTGATTAAGTGGGCCTTGTTCCCTACTCGGGTGAATCATTGATCACAGGCAGCAGGCAGAGAGGCCCAGTTAGGTTTGTCCTCACAGATGGATGGCCCAGGACAGGCAGCTGGGCCTGATACAGCACAGATACAGAGAGAAACGGAGGATAAAGAGATCACTTTTCCTCAATCTTCACTTCCACCTGCTTTACAGTAATTACATACATAATGACACAGCTTTGTTATTTAAAAGCTGCAGTCAGTGCTGTCAGGTTGTTTTGTGATACGTTATTCTAAACCTCTATGAAAGTTGGATTTCCCTGCCATCCCCCTCATTAATCTACCTCATGCAGAGACCTGTGGAGCTGCACACGGTGAGAATTCAGCAAAACCTAATCATATTACTAATGTAAGTGTCAAAGCAATTTTTCCAATGGAGTCTGGAGTGATTCTTAGTCACCCAGTTATTGTCACCATCCAAAATCAAAGCAGGAGAAGAGCCAAAACCAGCTCCTGAACTTGGATTTATTTATTAGAGTGCTAATGTGTGTAACTCTCAAAAGATGAAATGTTTTTTGAAGTGGGAGCGAGACTGATTTATCAAGCTCCACTTTAATACACCACAGGAAGCCAGGGCATGACAGGAAATCAGAAAAGTGTTTTTCATCTGGCTCATTTTAAGTCTTGCTAATGTTTCTATCATTGGATGTTTCCAATGACTCTGACATTCAGTCCCCCTGGAGTTAAAACACTTCTTTTAAAGAGAAATCTGTAAAAGAAAGTGTTGGTTAATGGCACATTTGAAGCCATTATATAGTTGCTTTGATGTATTCAGTGTAAATGCTCTAAACCAAATGGTGCCCTGTTTAAGACACTAAACAACAACAACCAAGATGATCAAGTAGCAGTTCAAGATGTATGAATCCACTAATTTTGGATGACCAAACAAACCAGCATTCTGTAGCTGTATTTCTGAGATTTTGCATTCTCCGGATAACCCTCTTTGTCCTTTTATTTATTATATGAATAGTTTTATTTTGGGAAATACATTAATTCACTTTTTTAGGATTGATAGATTTTGAAGATTGATACATTTTCATGTCTGTATGGAAAAAAATATTAAGCTACCTCCAGCAGATGGTTAGCTTAGCATAAAGACTGGAAACAGGCAAAACAGCTAGCCTGGCTCTGTCCAAAGGTAACGAAATATACCTGCCAGCACCTCTAAAGCTTTAAAATGAACACGTTCTATCTAATGCGTTTAATCCCTACGAAAACTGACAGGAATTCAGGAAATAGTCTAGCACATAACCACTACTTTACACTTTAGTTCTTGTACTGATTAAAACGAGATATGTGTTAAAGAACTTCAGAGGTGCTGGTAAGTGGATTTTGTAACATTTGGACAGAACCAGGCTAGCTGTTTGGTCCCATTTCCAGTGTTTATAAAAATTTAAGCTAACCACTCACTGTAGCTTCATATTTTTCATACAGACCTAATTTCTGTATAAGCAGTTGCTAATTTCCAGATGAATTTCCTTGATAGAACTGCTAGCAGCATCCCTAGATAAAGAATAATTGTGTTCCATTGCTTTCCTCTATTTCCTTTAAGAAGAGACGTAACGTTGTCAAATGTTGTCAAACTGAAGCTAAAGTTCCTATCCCTTTTTTACTCATCTCTCTTAACCCAGCGTCTGTCCAACGGCTCTCTGGAGTCGGCCCATGAGGCGAGCCAGGTGGTGGAGCTGCAGGACCTGCTGGAGAAGCAGAACTACGAGCTGGCCCAGATGAAGGAGCGCATGTCCTCCCTCTCCTCCCGGGTCTCCGAGGTGGAGCAGGAGCTGGAGACCGCCCGCAAGGACCTCATCAAGTCAGAGGAGATGAACAACAAGTACCAGAGGGACATCAAAGAGGTTAGACCACAGACGCGCGCGCACACACTTACTCTTTCACACTCTCTGGGGACAGGGAGAAGCATGCACACACATTTGCAAGAGAGACATCAAAGAAGGCTAGCAGTGGCTTAAAAAGCTTTTATTAGCATGTGCTGTCACACTCTCCCTCCCGATTATGACTATCTGTCATACACACAAACACATTGTGCACACACAATTCGAGGCACAACGCTTCATTAAAGTACAAAAAATTAAAAAGCCTAACATATCTCTCTCAACCAATCGCAAACAAGCAAGTGCATCCTAAAAATATGCTTTCAACATTCGAACAGACAGACCACAGTAGACTATATAAACTCTTCACAAGGACACACTAACATGTAACATAAAAAAAACTATGAACCTTGTTCTTAAACACTTTTTCAAACTGGAGTGTTGACATGTAAAGTGCTAAACCAGCCAATTAAATACCACTTTCCTGTGTCAAAAATTGGCAAATCATTAAGCCCATTCAGTATACATCTGTGAGGTGAATGCCATTGAAGTTGACTGGATATGAATATAAGTTGATCCCCCTATAGCCCTCAACTGAAATTGCTATTGATTGTTAACGATGCAAGCAGAGGCGGTGATTGTGGCCTGGCAAACATGGCCTTATCGGTCCAACCCTGTGTTACTATCCTCCCCTGAGAGCCTGAGCTTATTCAGCTCTCCCAATGAATGCAATTTTTTTGTGATTTTAAACCACATGTGCGCTTGCATAGGTTTTTTGGCCACAGCAATTCTCAATGCAGGAAATTAACTCTCAGAGCTTCACAGATAATGTTGCCGCCATAAAGAGGAACCTATTTTCATGGCAGCAGTGTGAGAAACAAGGTCGCAGCCACGCGTTTGTACTTCATGAAACTTTGTCTTATTGGCATTTGACTAGTTTCTCCTGTAGATTATACTGTGGTCATTTCACATGTGGAGCTACTCTAATGACAAGTTTTAATTACTCAGCTTGCAGCTCTGCTTTGTGTTTACATTTCAGTTTCAGTAACTGCTTGAGGACTTGTAGACATGCTGTAATTCTAGCTTTGATAATGATTACAGAAGATTTTGCACTAATGACATGCATCTGCCTTATACTCATATTTCAGTACGCACTGTGATAAGAACATTTTGTGCAGTTGTTTTAGAAATTTCTGCATTAATTACAATTTGTTTATTCAGGTTTTGAAATAAAATTATGGAGCAGCCGCAACATGCTTTTTGCCACTTCAGAATTCTCCGTAATAATCAGAGAAGGAGAAATTTCCCAAAAAGCTTTAAGAATGCTCTCATCTCTATTGTCGTATTCTGTTATTCTCTGATTGCACTGACTATTTGTGTGGCTGCACGCAGGCCATGTGTCAGAAAGAAGACATGGAGGAACGGATCGTAACATTGGAAAAACGCTACCTGAGCGCCCAACGAGAGTCCACCTCGGTGCATGACATCAATGACAAACTGGAGAACGAGTTGGCTAATAAGGAGGCGTTCCTCAGACAGGTCTGTATAATCCAAGGAGTGTTTGTGAGGGTCAAGTGACTGATCTTTAATCTTGAGGGATTATCAGATTATGGTGTTCAGTTCTGTTTGCTTTACTTTCCTGATCATTTTTGTCAAATTGAGTTGTGGGTCTGTAGATCCAGGTGGAAATGGACCATTCCTAACTGAAATCCCTGACATTTTGTCAACTGGATTCAGAAAAGAATTAAACATGCCTGCAGCTGGATGTGTAAGATAGATAGTTCCTGTCAGTTAACAGAGCCCTTAGAGCTGATCCACAGAGGTTTGACTATGAGAAACCCTCTTGACATTGTGTCAGATAATGTCAGAGGAAATTACTTCTGGGGAAGGCATTTTGATGGCATTAATTGGATGTTTACTTTGAGCACATGCACATGGCTCAACGTCATCCTCATAACCGTACTGCTGTACAATATGATGCTATAATGATGTTACAGATTTATTCTCCTTTTGATGATTCTGTGATTCATTGCAGCCAATTAGATAAATTGCCTGGCCATAGAAGTTTGAGTGACATTTACATGAGTACCAGCTGAGCTCTGGAAGGACTGACACAATGTCACACTAATATTAGTAAGTATGGGCGCGCACAGACACCATGAGACACACAAGCACCTCTTGGCTTTGAGTTGCTAAGACATCAAGCAGTGACTCAATAGTTTGACATTTTGGGGAAAAAACGCTTATTTGCTGTCTTGCGGAGAGTTACAGAATCAATATCACCCTTGTATGTGTCCATTAAAAATGAGGCTACAGCTGGCAACTGTTAGCTTAGCATATCACACAGACCCAAAACAGGGGGAAAACACCTAGCCTGGCTGGGTTCATAGGTTATAAAATCTGCCTACCAGCACCTCTAAAGCTCTTTAATTAACACAATATTTCTTATTTATTTGACCCTTCCAAAACTACAATTCTCCATTTTACTGCTGGGAGCAATAACCATCCAGAGTCTGGTTGTCAGGAAAGAAAAAGGACTGAGCCAGGCAAGCTGTTTTCAGTTTTTATGCTAACCTAAGCTAACCGGCTGCTGGCTCTAGCTACATATTTACCGTACAGACATGAGTGATACCAATCTTGTCATCAAAACCTTTGGCAAGAATGCTTATATGAATACTATTTGAACACCATTTATTTTCACCTTTTGGCTTGTACACCAGTCATCCGCACCTTGTCAAGTTGAATACAAGACCACTCTAGAAAATAAATGCATCGAGAACATACAAAAATAACAGCTAAATCCTTTGGGTTTAAGCTCCTGCTACCACACACAAACACACTTCCTCACTGGCTGCGTAATGAGTTTACTTGTGCCAGAAACTGAACCCCAGGATCTGGCGGCTGATGTTTGAAGATGAGTTGTTCAGGGGATGTAGGCTTGGCCATCGGCACAGAGAGATGAAGGGATGAGAAGATATGGCGAGCAAAAAGGCTAAAAAGATGCATGAAAGGGCACCTAGGGAGGATATCGCAAACAAAAACGCACTGTCATGCATCCCCAGTGTAATCTCAAGACACCAATGGGATGGTGATAAGGGTAAAGACAGAAAATATCACTGACACACACAACACAACAAAGCTCTGGCCACTCTTGTCTAATTATTGCATATTGAGCTGCCAAGCCCGATGCTTTGGGGAGCAGAGCATCTGTCGCTGATGGCAAAGGCTGCCAAGCAGCCCTAAAAAAAGAGTTGTAAAACTGATCAGAGCCCTGAGCTAGGCAGGGAGAAAATTCTTAACACGCAACAGGGAAATGCTTGATACTTGGTGGCAACTTCACTGAATGCTGGGTTTGATTTCCATCTTTATAATAGCAAGTACTGTATCTGAATGCCTAATCAGGGCAATTACCGTTTCTGCTGAGTAAAAGTTGCCACTGTCACTCTTGGCAAGTGCAGAGCTGCTGCTATTCTGACTCTGTTATGATGCTATTTTGAAGAAGGATTTAGGCGCATTGCCAGAGCCTTCAGTAGCCAGCCCTCCTACTAAAAACGGATATCTGTGATTTCTATTTTCTACCAGGCGAAGATGCTCTGCCGACATTCACAGGGAAAAGAAGGAAGAGATTCACATTCACAGAAGTTTTTTTTACATTATATGCCAGGATGAAGGGGGACACAGCAAAATACTGTAAAAACTATCCGTAATTTATGTCAACTGCACAGAAAAGCAGGCCTTTACTTGAAACGGGCTATTAGAGAAAGGCCTATTTCTAATTTCACTTACTAACATATGATTAAAAAGTACTAGTAGCAAGTAAAAGACCCCTCTTTTTTCTTTTTATTTATTCACTCCAGTTATTTTTGGCTGTTGCTGTTATTGCACTCCCACCATGTTTACACGTTACTGAAAATTCAGGATAATGTATATTTTACTTATTCCATCAGTACGACTTGTTTTGTTTTTCTCTTTTCTCTCACTATTCTCACTCTTTGGAGTCAATTTGGAGACAATAAAATGTTGCATTTCCTGCAAATGTTTCACATCAAAAGAATCTCATTGGCTCAAAGTATATTTATATTATATAATGAATATATATACCAATAATGCATAGTATTGAATTGGGATGCAGCTATAAAAAAAAAATTAATAGTTTATCTATTACACTTTTAATATGAAGCATCTGTGGGAAGTTTTGAGTTTGACTGAGAATAGCTTAACCCTGAGCTAAATAATGGCACTGCTGTAAGCCTGCCATTATCATTGTATTTAAGAAATTAATTGGAGAATTTATATTCTGTAATATCTCGTAAATCTGCCTGTTGATGTCACTGATGTTTGTGTTTACAGATGGAGGAGAAGAACAGGCAGCTACAGGAGAGGCTGGAGCTTGCAGAGCAGAAGCTCCAGCAGACCATGAGGAAGGCTGAGACGCTGCCGGAAGTAGAGGCTGAACTGGCCCAGAGGATAGCAGCCCTCACCAAGGTAGGAACACACACACAAACATACACATACATATATATTTACACACATACTGTTGACACATTCCCACAGATGCCCTCGTCTCTAGATTTTTCTATAGCTATGTGTAAGTGTGCACGTGGTGTCATGTCATGACGTTTCAACATGTCCCTCTCCTCTTCCTCGGCCACATAGTCTGACTCCAGCTCCTCTTCCTCCCCTGATGATTATCACTTTGTTATGGAAGCTAAACTCCAAGACATGAACTCCATTCTTAGGAAGGTAGTCCCACAGGGCATCACAGCTACTGCCAACTCCTGTAGAGAGCCGATTTCATTCATTTATCTTATTAGTGTTTTGTGGCGAGCGTGTTTACTGGGATTCTGCTCTGGCTGTTCTACCACCATGGGACAGCTGCATGGCACTTCTGGCTGGAGCTCATACTTGGCAGTGCTGGAGGAGCTCTTTTCCTCTTTCATTCTGTCCTTTGGTGGCCTCGTTCTCCATCTTTCTCCTTGTCACTCTTTGTTTCAACCAGCTCTCTTTGCAGTTATGCTTTAAAACAGATATCCATTTAAAATAGATATCCATCTTTGAGTTTGGGATAGAGGCTTTGGCTTGTGTCGTCGCCACTGCTTTTCTTTGTTGCCCTTCAGGCTGTCAAACCGATCGTCAGCAGATCATCGTGCCCTCTTTTGTCCTGTCTATGCTGTGATCCATCTGTAGGCGGAAGAGCGTCACGGGAGCATTGAGGAGCGAATGAGGCACTTGGAATGCCAGCTGGAGGAGAAGAACCAGGAGCTGCTACGGGTGAGTCACAGCGGAGGCGTTGTGCCAGGCAGTGTTAACCAGGCAGCCACTCCTGCATGATCATGACAGCTTGAGGCAACTGTGACTGATGACACATTGTCTGATTTATCACCAATGACACTTGACCACATCAGTGTTTCACACACTCCTCTGATCGAATGGTTTGTAAAATGCCCACAAATTAGGCAATAGTGTACTACTTATTTTAGATCACATGAGCATCTTTAAAGTCACATTTTATAGTATCATCTCAAAATGCTAAATACCCAGTTTGAGAGAAAGAAAAACTCTTTGAAATAGGGCTTTAACGGTTTGTGCACTCGTTCCAAAGGTCAGGTAATGGTCCAGTGCATGCAGCCGCACGACTGAACCAGAGTTCACAAAGCGAGTTCCGCATATTAGTACAATATGCTGATTGGCAATCATTTGTTCAGACCTAAGCTCATCACAAGCCAGTTTACAGAACAGTTATTCAGACAGCAGACCAGACATTTACAAGTACAACAAATATTATATAGAGTTCAAATGATGGCCCTTACAGCCATATTTTTATAGGTACCCACATATATTGGCAGAAGTCAAGAGCATTATTACCAGGAGAGATGAGATGATAAAATCAAGACTTTGGATTTGGACACACTGGAATAAACAGTACATTATTCAAAATAGATAAACATAATTCAGGCAGTTGTGACTACTGTGGGCAAGAAGAAACAGTAGAGCTAATGGCAGTAATCATTGACTTCATGCGCGCTGCCATAGACTGTATATAAGAAGTGGACTAGGGCTGGACCCAATATTCGACCGTTGGGGTCACATTCAATTTTCAATTATGAGATTTGATTATTAAGGGTTTTTTTCGCGCCGGACCTCCGCCAACAGCAGTGAACGTAACACTCCTTTTCACATCAAAGGGAAAACGAAATTAAGCTTCGATCATTTGCTCTTAATTACTTTCGAAGTGTCGAAGCTCAAAAAATGACATTCGGGCCAGCCCTAAAGTGGACGTAGTCATTGTGACGTCACCCGTTGGTTTGTGGACAGCCGTTTTGAAGCCTCGAGTTTGGCCAATATGGCGCTGCCATGTTGAGTTTTTGCAACCAGGAAGTACCCGTAAGTGACAATATTTAGACGAGACGGTGGAGGTAACTGCCGTTTGTGGCGCAAGTTAGCTTGCTTAGCTAAGTGCATCTGTAATTCAGTTTAACTGTCACAGGGCTGACAATTTTGTCTAGTGAACAACAGTCTTAAAACTAAATGTACTCACCAGAGTGAACAACCAACTCCTAATAAGCTTTTTTATAACGGCGCAGGTTAAATTTACACTGTCCGGTGGGTACGAGTCACTCAGTGATTGAAAGGTCGCCATGGTAACGACTTGTCAATCATAGATAATCCCGCTCTGAAGCATACTCTGCTTTATGGTCTATTTTAAAATATAAGGAATGGTAATTTACTAAATGAACATGAAACTAGCGACTGAAACCATAAACTCATTGGGAAAGTGTTTACTAAGGTAATAAATCAGGTGAGAACTTCTTTTTGCAACCAGAAGAGTTGCCCCTGCTGGCCGTTCAATAGAATGCAGCTTTATGGGACTTCCGCATTGGAGTCATGTGTCAGACCAGAGACCGGAAGCTTCCCACTTGGGTGTTGCGCAGCGCTGACTTAACAGTGATACATGCTGGACTTAAAATAAGGCATAGTGGTTGGAAATCGTGTCCGACTTTTGCCGGTGCTGCAAAATGTCACCATGTCATATGACATTAAAACCTCGTGGGAGCAAGGCAGCTACAGGCGGCGAGTCCGGTGGCTGCAGTTGCTTTTCTCCGGCTGCACAAAGTTGGAACCGCACGTTTTGCCTGGTTTCGCAGCATTTTTCTTTGCAAATGCCGCAAGATCAGTCATTGTTGTCTGCTGGTAGAATTTGTCCAACTTCACAGCACCGTTTTTATTCCCCACCCCTGCAGTCGCCTGCAGATCACGTTAGACTATTAAGTCAGCAAGAGTCGGTCGTAGTCATAAAACTCAAAAAGAAGCAGCAACAGCTTTTTGGCGCCCCCATCAGTCACAGTATGGCAAGTGCTAATGAAACACCAGAGCCGGAAGGTCCGACTGCATCCTTTTTAATCAATTACTTGGGAACAATTCGGTTCATGCGGAAGCCGCTTCGAACCGTGACTCCTAAACTATCATACCTCTGGTATGAAAATACAATTCCGGAAGTGGTTCACAAAGATGGTTTTCCCCACTGGGAGGCAAGCAAAAGCCAGCCATATCTAGCAGGATGCAAACCTGATTTGAACACTGAAGTGGAAAAGTTAGCTAGTGCATCATTATTTGTTCCACTGAGGGGTAGTTCAGAACGGATCGTGTGAATTATGGGATTTCATCATGTCAAAAATTCTACTTGAAACCACACATCTAATTGAAAAATCCTCAAGACTAGACATTTCTTGTTTTCATAATACCCTCTTTTAAAAGCAGTGGATCCCATTCTGGGGTTTGGGATCCCTAAAGGGGTTGCAAGTTTAATCTGCAGGGTCATTATTAACAGGATCTGAAAGACAAAAATCTTTTCAGACTTTTGCTTTTTATTGCAAATTACTTTTTAAATTGTTGGTGTTTCTTGCCTTTTAAAAAGTATTCTATCAGAACAAGAAGAAAAATTATCTTGGGTTGTGCTCGCCACAACTGGTAGACTTATACAACCAATTATCGGGGTAGAAGTAGAGACTGCTTTTCAGTAATAACATTCCAAAATGTTGTGAACTACTGCTTTAAAGTAACCAGTAGCTTTACAGCAAACATTTTGAAGGGGTTGAGGCCTCTTTTTTTTCAGGAGATATGACTGTATTTTATCCTTACAGGCTCGACAGAGAGAAAAGATGAACGAGGAGCACAACAAGCGACTCTCGGACACGGTGGACAGACTCCTCACGGAGTCCAATGAGCGTCTTCAGCTCCACCTGAAGGAGAGGATGGCAGCTCTAGAAGAGAAGGTTAAAGATGGCTGCCACGATAATGGAAACCATCAATATCAGTTTTGTCCAGTGAAAATCAGGAGGAGATAGATTTTATCACATGACTTTTTTTTCTTCGCTTTGCAGAATCTGTTAATCCAAGACTCAGATGGTTACAGAAAACAGTACGAGGAGTCAATCCATGAAAAAGTAGGTGGCAGAGATCAAGAAATAATGATTACGTCTTTTTTTACTCCCTTACATTTATCATGAGGTTGACTTAATGAGGTTTTTTAATAAAGCAATAATGAGGTTGGTTAGTGGCATTAGTTGAATTTTTTTATAAACCTCTGCAGCTGAATATTCATAAGCTTCCCGCATGGGGGAGGATAATAAAATGAATTTTAAAGCAGGATGTAAAAATAAAATTAAAAAACTATGGTACCAGTTAGTATCAGCAATATATAGATAAACAGCCCCACTGGCTCTTATCCATGTCACTCCACATGATGCACCAAGATGACTGCTGTGTGATATACTAGGGTAATCATAAACAAATCCTATAATGACATCTTCAATCAAATTGTTTCGTCCAGACACAGCTGGCAGAGGAGATTGACAAACTGAGATCAGAGCTCGATCAATTCAGACTGAGGGCAGGCTCCCTCACAGAACCCACCCTGTCACGGTAAGTTGGCTGGATGTTTGTGTGCGTGTAGGTATATTTACAACCCTGCGCAGCTGATGCGACTCTGGCACACGGCGTGATAGTAATCAAGTGCGCTGCGAGTCACAGACAGTTTGTGGCTTAGTGGTGATGTAGCTGGTAGACTTTTGCAATACAAAAATGTAAAAACTGAGGTGCAAACTTGCTCTGTTTGGGACTGTGGGCTGCACTTTATGGGAGGTGCTGAAATTATTATTTGTGTGGGTTTGTGGTGAGATTTCTGCCTGATCAGAAGTGTTTTCACTTAGTTTTCGATTTTACACCTCCTTGTCTCATCCATACAGTCCCAAATGGTCCAAAGGCCTACTCATAAAATGCACCAAATCTCACTCCTAACTAAATTGCAATGTTGCCAGCTTTTCAGGGTGATGTAATACTATATCAAGATACATCATTAGTCTCAGTGTAGAACTAGTTACTCCTAGTATTATGTGTAAGATGATAAGGACAAATGTTCCGATTGTTTGAGATAGTAACGTCATCTCATGTACATTAGCCGTGGGTTGCTGGATTGTAAAATTCCCCAAAACCATCTCGAATAGAAATGAGCTGCTAACGTAGCATTAAACTGTGATAACATCCAGGATCAAATGAGTGGGTGCTTCATGGCCTGAAGTAACTCTACAATGGCATACTACTGGTAAGCTGGACATGCTAACGTTTACAGCTTGCATTAGAGCAGAGCAGCTAAACGTTAATTTTAATTCAGTTTAATCCACTCTTTACACTTTTGCTTGTTGGTTAGGCTTAGGTTTAGAAAACGTGTAGAAAAAAGACACCACACTTCAAACTCTTAAATAAGAAATCTACAATTTGACAGGGTTGTCATTACAGTTCCTAAGCCATAATTGGTCAGTCATTTCCAGGGGAAAGGTTTAGTGAACTGTCACTTGTTTTAGGTGGATTAGCACTTGCTGTCCCTATTTACCACCACCGGACAATAAGCAATACATTACTCATGAATTATATTATAGATATACTCTCAGTTCTGTTATTTCTGAAACGTTTTGCTTTGCACTATTCTTAGAAACACTGGTATCACTCAACTCTCGTTTTCTGGCTACCCTTTTATGCTGCATAAAGTTCTAATATTACAGTGCTGGTGTTTTGACAGTAGCAGCCTTAATCTCCTCCATAGTCAAACAATTTGCAGCCATAAACACATGCATAATGAGTTCTCTTCCTTAAAAAGTACACTTTACACCACATCACTATTAGGTACGCTTGGTTTGCTGTCTGCATAACTGTGATCATAACCATACAGTTTTGTTGTTGCTTCACGGCTCCCTGTGTAGGATTTATGCTGTAAAGGTGTTAAACTGTTTCGGATAATGTTCATCTTTAAGAAAATGTTTTTGTGTAGGCACACTCACTAAGTAACTTAAGTCGTCGTTTCTCAGGTCTCATCTAGACACATCAGCTGAGCTCCGATTCTCGTTAGGATCTCTGGCTGAAACCCAGTCAGACCACTACCGCTCAGCCAAGGTCATCCGACGGCCAAGGAGAGGTCGAGTGGGTCTGCGTGAAACCAAGGTGAAGGGTTTTTTTTGTCTGTCTTCGATCTATCTGTGCCTTTTTATCCCAAAATGCTGTTGTTTCTGTTTCTTTTCCTTCTAATAGTACTTCACTTCAAGATGCATGAGCTGCTCAGATGGTCGATCACTCCTTGTTTTCTGTTTTATCAACCATAGTTGAATTTGATATTTGAAGCCAGTTGGAAGCTAGAAATTAGCATGCAGACAAGAAATCTTCCTGAGAACCCCGAGGCTGTGATTCAGTGTTGAGCGCTAAAAGTCTCCATTGTGGAAATGTAATTAACTTTTGGTAAGGATGGTAAAATCAGATTAATATCTTGCCTTGTTGTTCTTGTTTATATTAAGTGAATACGCAGGGAGAGAGAGAGCCTCTGTTTATGTAAATCTAGATGCGACTGCAAATTCAGTGCACTCATACTTTGGTGTGGCAGTCTCATTTTTGCAATTGTGGTGACCCAATTGGGACACTTGTGGCACATTCCTTTCCACAATCGTCATTTTTTTTTAATGGGCCAAGCAGGGAATGCTAGCCCCCCCCAGGATATAAGCATTTTAAATATTAGTTTACTGGACAGCAAATATGTGGTAAAAGGTGTCCCTCTTAGATTAGATTAAATTTGAAGTTTAAAGGAGACAACTATCATCATGTCACATGCTTGTTATGTCCAGACCTAATAGGGCAATATAAGTTATTTTATAAGGTAATAATGTTTGTTGTCAGGCTGAAACTAAAGCAAGTGGTAGTACAAGTTCCATCATTTTAGTCTGTTGCCTATATTTTTGTTTAATGAAGTGATTAAGAAGGCATTCAGTTAAATGTGTGTGTATATATAGAAGATGACCCCATACCTACTCATATTATGAGAAAAGTAATAGTTTATGGCATTTTGCAGACAAGGGCTTCTCTTCATAAGAATTCTGGTTACATGACAGAAATGTTACTGAAGAAAATCTTTTCAGTTTTCTGAGGATGCCTCAGAAGGATGTAGAACTTATAGTATATGGTCTGCTATTTATAGTCTATCTTTGTGCGCAGGCTAAGTCGCTGGGGGAGCATGAATGGCGCTCGCAGCAGCTAGGGGTCCTGGGAGGCCACCACTTTGAGAGCGACACAGAGATGTCAGACATTGATGACGACGACAGGGAAACTCTGTTTAGCTCCATGGACCTACTCTCACCCAGCGGCCACTCGGATGCACAAACTCTGGCCATGATGCTGCAGGAGCAGCTAGATGCAATCAACAAGGAAATTCGGTACCTGACACACACTGCAGTATTAATTTAATATAAAAGGCCAGATTTCCAGACATATTGATTTGCTTCCTTTACTTATTACATTCCTTATCCATTTTACTTGAAATCCAGTTAGCAGTCGATATGTTTTTAAGATCATGTACCAGAAAGCTGAACCTTTTGGGAATCCTTTTTGCAGATTACCTAAAATGCTTCTGACTTTGGGGGGCTATCCTGTTGCTGGATAAAGCCCTGTTTTCAATGGATAACTCTGTCTCCAGTGCTTTGGCCTATTTCTCTCCAGATTCTTGGCTTCTTAAATGACATTCCTCCCAAAATCTATAATTTTAGTATTAAGTAACACACCCATGGAGAACACTGGTCGGCTTGTATTCATTTCAGTAACTACAGAAGCAGAAAAACAAGAACATTTTCAAACCATACCTGCAGCATAATCCACCAAATCCTGTCTACCCTTATTTTCAGTATGTTCTAGACACTCATATTTCCACCATATATGCTAAAATATGACTTATACACTGCTATTGGGGGGAAATTGATAATCTTGCAGAGTGGTGAAAAGAGAATAACCTACTTGCTGAACGTCAGCAAAACCAAGGAGCCTGACCGTTGATTTCAGGAAAAAGGAGACAAAGACACACACTCCTGTCTACATAGGTGGAGTTTCATGTTCCTGGAAATCAGCATCACAGAGAACCTGACATGGTCATTTCACATCTCCACTCTGGTGAAGCTCAAGCTTGAGGAAGCTTGAAAAGATCAAATTCCCATGCAAAGTTCTTGTCAGCTTTTACAGAGGAGCAATAGAAAGCATCCTGACTGAAAACATCACAAACTGCCATAGGATGTGCACGGCCCAGGACCAGAGGGCTCTGCAGCAGGTGATAAAAACTGCTCAGAAGATCATTGGTACTCATCTCCCGACCATCAGTTATATCAGTGGGTTGAGGTGCCAACGCATGGCCCAAAGGTTACTAAAGGACAGTACCCACTCAGCCACAGCCTGTTCACCCTGCTGCCTTCTGGAAGAGAGATAGGGTGCTTCTCAAGTCTCTTAATTGCATCCATGTTTCCCTCACTTGCGTCTTTTCCTTGCCTTGAAACCAAGCCAGGAGACAAGGAATGAGGAAAAATGTTTTTAGAGACATGAGACACCCTTTCCTCCGAAGTGTCACGTAAAGCGATGTCCATTTCTGATGACGGCGGCAGCTGATCACAGCTGTCAGTCGGCTCTAACAGCTGTCGAGACTTTTGATGGAGTTTGTGTTTACATACATGTGCTCTGTGTTGGTACTAAGAAAGTCTCAGTTCTCAGTGCAGTGCAGCATGATTCTCTCTGTAGCTGTTACCTGTTTAACAAACACCTGCACATGAAAAATGATAGTTTAGGCCTACTGTATGTCCTGCTCAGAGGCACAGGATCACCGATCAGGCACCGATCGATTACTGCATTCCATCATATCCATCCAACAATTGTTTTTTTTAGCTCAGCAGCACTTTCATTCTTCGTTTCATCAGCTGATTTTACCGCGGAGCCGCAGGCTGCTTTCATCAGATACTTTGCTCGCTTCGTTAGATACTTTGGTGCAGTTTAGTGACTTTTCCGACTCCTTGCGTGTACTATGTTTTATTGTCGTCTATTTGGACTAAACACAGGAATGACCAGACTGAATAGAAATGACGATAAATGATGTAAAACGTGTTTCTTGCAGACAGACTCTCCAACTCTCTCTGACTTTAATTGTCTCTCTAATAAAAGTTGATGGAAGAAATGATAAAAAGATCTTTCTAATAAATGAAGAAAGCTTTTGTTGTTCAGACCTACACACAGATTTTAACAAGACAGTGAATCTGAACTATGAAATATCGTCCAATCAATATAACAGCTACCCAATAAGGGGGCGTGTCGGTCAGTAAAAAACTTCCGCAAAGGATGCACTGGTATATCCTCGCTCATAGCTCCTCAGAGATCGATCCTCAGAGCGCAAATAAGAGCTTTGCGACGACCTGCAAGATGGCGGAGCGGAATAAGCGAGGATCAAGGAACTGACAAATAAGAGACTTGAGAAGCACCCATAGAAGTTTCAGCTGCCAGAGCAGCTTTTTCCCCCAAACTATCAGACTTTTTTAAACTCAAATTCATCCTCAGCACTGCTCCCCTCAATATAGTTTATTTCTGTTTACCATTTTTATAATTGCTTGTAAAATAAATGTAAATTGAATAAAAATGTATATTGGCTGCTACGTAGCAGAAGGGAGTTACAAACTCAATTTCACTATACATCATGTTGTATTGTGACAAATAAATCGACCTTGTACCCAAGCTCTTTCTAAGGTACCAGTTGTCTTTTTAGCATGTCTGTAGATCACTCTTCTTGTCTATGAACCAAACACTTTTGTTGTATACGTTCAGTGTTTCAGGAAATATGATCTGCCTTGCTTGTTAATGCTGTAATTATTTTGTGCTGTAATTATCTTGTGCTGTTAAGTATTCATAACCCCAGGCGCAACTTGACTTCTTGATTTCAATGGCTCTCTATGTGCCTTTTGCTAATTTACATTCCCATCAATAGTCACAGTGCCACATTTCTTCCAGGAAGAATTCATTCACATCTGATAGCAGATGGTGATCAAGGAACTGAGCTCTCAGTTAATTACAAAGCTACCTTGGGTGTGTTAAATCTAATGACCTGACTTTTAGCCTTTTTATCTTCTCACTATGGCCTTTAATTAGTTTGGCTTATACTGTAGGTATTTAATTGAATTGTTAGGCAAATCTCAAAAAATCCATCTCCTAAGACCACCATAGATGAGGCTGACATCCGTAACAGTCATACTGAGATAATTTTTGCCTGGAAATAACAAAAAATGAGTACATTTTTTTTAAGTCAAATGTGAAATTCTTGTAATTGGATGTAGGCTCGAAGTAAGCTCTATACTGCAAAATCTTCATGACCATATGAGATGACATACCTACTGCTGACCTCATATGCTGCTTTCTCCTCTTCCAAGGCTGATCCAGGAGGAGAAGGAGTCAACGGAGCTGCGTGCGGAGGAAATAGAAAACCGGGTAGCCAGTGTCAGCCTGGAGGGTCTCAACCTGGCTCGAATGCACCACCACGGAGCCTCCATCACTGCCTCAGCCACCGCCTCCTCCTTGGCCTCCTCCTCCCCACCCAGCGGACACTCCACCCCCAAACTTGATCCTCGAAGCCCCGCCCGCGATATGGAGCGCATGGGGGTCATGACACTGGTGAGTTTCTTGATTACATGTAGTCCTCCTCTGCTCTAATGATACTACCAACCCACCGCAAATAAATATTGATCCCTGGAAGTTTTAGTTCAGTAAGCTGCATCGAGGGGAACAACCCTCTCTTTAATTGCTATCGTCCCAAACAAGTAATGCAATCAAGTAGTCATTTTTAAAATATACAAGCAATAGGCCTTTTGTGTACATAAAGAAAGTCTTTGAGTTCAGCTCATGATGAATGGGGGCAAAAACAAAAGTGTTGCGTTTTATTTATGCGTGTGTGTGTGTATGTATGTATATATATATATATATATGTATGTATGTATGTATGTATGTATGTATATATGTATATATATATATATATATATATATATATATATATATATATATATATATATATATATATATATACACACACACTGCTCAAAAAAATAAAGGGAACACTAAAATAACACATCCTAGATCTGAATGAATGAAATAATCTTTCTTCACATAGTTGAATGTGCTGACAACAAAATCACCCAAAAATTATCAATGGAAATCAAATATATCAACCCATGGAGGTCTGGATTTGGAGTCACACTGAAAATCAAAGTGGAAAACTACACTACAGGCCGATCCAACTTTGATGTAATGTCCTTAAAACAAGTCAAAATGAGGCTCAGTAGTGTGTGTGGCCTCCACGTGCCTGTATGACCTCCCTACAACGCCTGGGCATGATCCTGATGAGGTGGCGGATGGTCTCCTGAGGGATCTCCTCCCAGACCTGGACTAAAGCATCCGCCAACTCCTGGACAGTCTGTGGTGCAACGTGGCGTTGGTGGATGGAGCAAGACATGATGTCCCAGATGTGCTCAGTTGGATTCAGGTCTGGGGAACAGGCGGGCCAGTCCATAGCATCAATGCCTTCCTCTTGCAGGAACTGCTGACACACTCCAGCCACATGAGGTCTAGCATTGTCTTGCATTAGGAGGAACCCAGGGCCAACCGCACCAGCATATGGTCTCACAAGGGGTCTGAGGATCTCATCTCGGTACCTAATGGCAGTCAGGCTACCTCTGGCGAGCACATGGAGGGCTGTGCGGCCCCCCAAAGACGTGCCGCTCCACACCATTACTGACCCACCGCCAAACCGGTCATGCTGGAGGATGTTGCAGGCAGCAGAAAGTTCTCCACATCTGTGAAGAGCACAGGGCGCCAGTGGTGAATTTGCCAATCTTGGTGTTCTCTGGCAAATGCCAAACGTCCTGCACGGTGTTGGGCTGTAAGCACAACCCCCACCTGTGGACGTCGGGCCCTCATACCACCCTCATGGAGTCTGTTTCTGACCGTTTGAGCAGACACGTGCACATTTGTGGCCTGCTGGAGGTCATTTTGCAGGGCTCTGGCAGTGCTCCTCCTGCTCCTCCTTGCACAAAGGCGGAGGTAGCGGTCCTGCTGCTGGGTTGTTGCCTCCATGTCTCCTGATGTACTGGCCTGTCTCCTGGTAGCGCCTCCATGCTCTGGACACTACGCTGACAGACAGCAAACCTTCTTGCCACAGCTCGCATAATTTCCACCTGTTGTCTATTCCATTTGCACAGCAGCATGTGAAATTGATTGTCAATCAGTGTTGCTTCCTAAGTGGACAGTTTGATTTCACAGGAGTGTGATTGACTTGGAGTTACATTGTGTTGTTTAAGTGTTCCCTTTATTTTTTTTTAGCAGTGTATATATAGTCGCACGCCTCTGGAACAACTAGGGGTTAAGTGTCTTGCTCAGGGATGTCAGGGTGGAGAGTTGAACCCAGGTGTCTCACACCAAAGTCATGCATCTTATCCACTGTGGCATCACCACCCCTTTTAGAGGTTAGAGTGTGGTTGTACTGTGTAATTTAGGGATTTAAATGCATTTTAGAGATTGTATCACCTTGTAGAGACAGGTATTACATCTAAAATATTTCTCAGTACCATATGTCCATAGCAGCTCATGCATTGTTGAGTTGATGGTGGTTTCAATCAGGGGTAAACATAAACTTTGGATAAAGAAATTATGAAGCAAAATAAATCAAGGTTGGGCAGCTGTTCTGCCAAGGTCTTTCACAGTATCACTGCATGTTTAGCTGTATAGCTAGAGAAGACATGAATATTTGAAGACTTGCTGCATTTAAATAGCGTGCAAAGAAAGTCGTGACTGTCTTGCTCTGTCAGCTGTCATCTTGAATTCCAGGTGTCAAAGGGATCCCTTACAGTTTTTCCCAGAATAGACAATAATATGTTTTGCAGCTTGGTTCTTCGCGAACTCTCTCCACATTGACCTGAGGCTGAAAAAAAATACCTCCTTAACATATTCAATATGCCTCCATAATCCATCAGGACAAGAGATGGGTGAAATGTGTAAATGCGTCCTTTATCCAGAGGATTTTTAAAGGAATAAGGCTTTGATTTTATTGATCGGTGAAATGACATGTTTACAAATCTCTTTGTCCCTCTGTATCGATCTGTGAATTGATGCGCTGGTATTGGGCAAAGGCTAATGAGCATCTAATGGTGTATGATATTTATATGAATGAGCCAATAGTCTTTCATTTACGTGGATATTGATGATTTTCTATTTCTTTTTTTCCAACAGCCTAGTGATCTGAGGAAACACAGGAGAAAGGTACACGGGGCATGGCTTGTATTAACAGATTTTGAATGTGATATTAATAAGCCACAAGTTCCCCTGAATTCAGTTTTATAATACATGTGCTGTAATGACACCCTGGTTAAATAGATATTTTACTAGTATCCATGGGTCACATCTAATGTCCAATTTTTTGCCCTCGACCCTCAGATAGCAGCGGTGGATGAGGATGGCCGTGAGGACAAGGCCACAATCAAGTGTGAGACATCCCCCCCTCCAACGCCACGCACTGTCCGAATGACACACACACTGCCAGCCTCCTCGCACAATGACGCACGGGGGTAGGTGTCAGCTGTACAAACATTTCATATAGACAGAAGTAATCTCGATGTGGGAGGGATTTGGAGTAGGGGAGTGTTTTTGTTTGATTGCCTTTGTATCTTGGATGCAAATTATATTCTTTCTTGTAAAAATGTTAGCTTGATACTACTGCTTTACAGATAGTGTAGACATCTAAGCTCTGCCTGTTTTTCTGCTTTGGATGAAAATGAGATAGTTACTGCCCACTTAGAAGCTTCCAGTTTAGCTCCCAATTTTTCCATGTATAATTTTTTTTGCACTCACAGAGATAATGTGGGTGCTTTTTCAATCTTGAAGCACAGGCAGCAGCAACAGTATTAGATGAGTCCTCAGTAACTGGCATGAATAAATAAGCTTAAAGTGAAGTTGAGGAAAGCAGCAAATTCTTCAAGCACAGACAAAGAAAGGGAAGCGAGATAACAGTTCTTGGAAAAGTATGAAATATACAGTAAGGTGTGTTTAGGTGAGCCCACTAAAACAGTCTATTTTCACAATCTATCTATCATGAAATTAAAATGTACCTAAATATTTTAAAGAGGTGGTATTATGCTTTTTGGCCTTTTCCCTCTCCTTTATTGAGTTATGTATCTTTTTTGTGCATGTAACAGGTTTGCAAAGTGAAAAAGCCCAAAGTCCAGCCCAAAGGGAGTTCCCATCTCCCACAGAAAACTCTGCTCTGAACCGCTTGAAAACAGCTCGTTTGTAGTCCAGCCCTTCACTTCCTTTACTTGTGACATCACAATGAAAACGTGTCATAAAGCTTGCCAAGCGGCTAGAGGGGGTCAGACACGCCCTCAAACCAAGCTAGTCTGAGCGGAGGCCCTTTGGCTCGACTCGCCTTTGTTTGGGTTTCCATTGTAGAAATGTTGTACCTGTACCTGCTTCCAGGCACTTTTTTTCGTATCACCTCCGTCTAAAATGTAACGTGAAAACACGACCGATTGCTGATTGGTCAGAGAGAATCGTCACTATTCACTGCATCATCATTGCGTGCACTAGACAGAGGACAGAAAGTTTTATATTTTACAGTTGTCGTATGGAATTTCATCACTAAATCCACTTCTGAGAAGTTTTGAGGTGAGAAATCAGCACAGACACAGACCGCTGCAGCAACAACGGCAAAGGAAAACACAGCTGGAAGGTTTTCATACGGCTTGTCTGTCTTTACATTCTGAGGAATGCTGAAACGTTTTAACTTAAAAAAGAGAAAGCTGTGTGGATCGCTAGTGTGTGTGTGTCGCATTGAACATTATGTTGCGGCAGTTGTGTGTGGCGTTGCTATGATGACAAGCTGCGTACCATCTCTGGGTACTATCTGCAATGGAAAACGGAGCAGGGCCGAGTAGAGTCCAGTCTATCGATTTGCGCTATGGTAGCATTTTTCGGCAAGGCAGCATAGATCGTCAGAACACCGACAACAGTTCAACGTTTAGTCCTGATGGTAAGATGTGGAACAATGATGTTGTGTGGTCGTGGCCTGGTAATAACTTAAACCATCTGCTAGGTTATGGTCACAGTCTGAAGCAGCTTTCATTTGGATCCTTTCATTTGAGTCCTTACCTGGGAACTGCGCATGTGCAACTCCCAAGAAAGATTTTGTACAAGTAAGATGCATCACTCTGTAGCTCAAGAGCGGAGCGTACAACACATAGGCTGAAAAGAGGAGCTGCAGCAATGTGCAGTATGAGGAAAAATATGGTGTTTTTTGAAAATTAAACCATGTAAACCTGTTCTGGTACAACCCCTAATTAAGATTTTGAACCTGAAAATGAGCATAACACCACCTCTTTAACAACTCTTTTGCTCATGCTTTCTGTGTGTGTTGTGTCCTCAGGATTGTGGCCTCTCTAGAGGCTGAGGCCAGCGCACTGAGTAGTGTAGCCAGCAGCCAAGACTCCCTCCACAAGCAGCCAAAGAAGAAGGGCATTAAATCCTCCATCGGACGGCTTTTTGGCAAAAAGGAGAAAGGCAGACTGGCACATCTGGCACACAGACACGTCATGGTAGATCCACAAGGTGTGTTTTGATACGGATTACAAAATGCTGATATTTGTAGTTTCAAAAGCCCAAAAATGGTGTAGATTCTCCTGTTAATACAGGACACTGAAACTCAGGATGATAATACTGCTACTAATACAAGTAGTAATAACATATAAGACCATGTTTATGCATACTTAGATGGAAACTTGACACTCCTACATTCAAAAACACTAATAAAATATGAGAATCAGAGAAACTAAGTATCATATGTAAGCATGTGCAACTCACCTTACCACAATTTAAATCCTAACAACAAATAAACATCAATATATTATGTTAATCTGTGGAAAATATAGAACTCGTGAAAACATTTGAGTGTTTACTCATTTCATATCAAGTATTAATTTTAGATTTCATTCTCTGATTTCCTGCGTTCCTCCTCCCCTCTCAGCGACAATGATGGATCCAGACATGGCGGGCCAGGATATGGGGATGGGCAAGCTGGGAACTCAGGCTGAGAAGGACCGCAGATTGAAAAAGAAGTAAGCTTTGTCCAAAAAACCTTTCTAGTCACCGAAAAAGACATTTCACCCTGACATCCAAATGGTCCCTTAGTAGGGTCTTCTTATGCGCAGCCAACAGTGTCCATTTAATATATGTGCTTGTGCAAGTGGCCAAAAGTTCATGGTCATATTTAGGAGAAGCATTGTGTTCGGAAGTCATCTGGCTGTATGTTTTTAGACCGTTCACGGCTACATTAGACAGTCCAATCTGACCTTTGACATACAGATATAGACAATAACCCACACCTCCTGTGTTTACCTTTAGCTCTGTGCCTCTATGATAGCACAGCTGTAAAGCATGTAATACCATAGCCCACATTGAGAACAGGATCGATAAAAAGTAGAATCTGGAGCAGTATCCAGGAGCAGAGATCAGCCTTGCTGTATTCAGACGCAGAGCCAAAGTCAGACTATTGATCCAGGCTGAAAAGAAGATGGGCAAATTGTGATTTGTGACATTGGGCTTTGTAAATAAAATTGACTTCAAAAGCCAATTCATCTCACAAAGCTACTTTGTCAATTTGGAAGCTATAGATGGCTTTCACAACACACCACACATAAATTACACTCACAGATCAGGTGTGTTCTGCCCCACAGGAAAAGGGGAAACCCCCTTCCAAATCTTTCAGCAGGAGTGTTGCCGAATGTATGTGTGTGCGTGTGTGCGTGCATTTGCCATGCCCAGTGCCAAATGATGAATGTCATTTGCTTGAAGTGCACATTGAGTAGTCATGACAAATAACTTTGCCTCCCATGTAGTTGGTCAATAGAGAGTATCGTTTGTTGTATGTTGACAAATGTGTTGTTTTTCTTCCACTGCACTGACTTCTTCATAGCAGTGTCCGGGATTAAGGCCACACCACCACCTTGCATCTTGGTGCCTCCTCCACACTGCATGCCATTGAGCTGCCTGCACTATTTCCATTTCAGCATCTTGATCGATCAATACCGTTGTGGTCTCATTGTTGGTGTATGTTTTGTTTTTTCCTTTTTTTTTCTCTCCAAGAGGTAACGACAAGTACCTGAATGTAACTGAGCATTTGAATGTAAGGCCATGGAGGGGGTCTTGCTGTGTTTCAGTGCATTTCTCATTTCCTCTGCTGCACGAGATGTGGTCAGGACTGCATTGTAGAAGATTACTTTTTTTTTTTTTTTGACTGGTCTACAGATGCTCCTGTAAACGAATGTCCTCCATTGTGAGATGTGTGTGTGTGAGGGTGCGTGTTTTGTTTAGAGCCGTATCGTTAATTGCCTATTAATTCATTAACATTTTGTGTACTTTTGTCTCCCCGTCGCTCTCTTCTTTGATCTCTGACTCTCTCCTCTCCTACACTTCCTCTCCCTCTCATCATCCTCTGACTCTAACAAAGCGGGTAAGTTGTTAGGATGTATAACTGACCTCCTGGATATGAACATTGTCTCAGCCTTATTGCCCTGTCTGCCATCTCTCCTGTCTGTGTGCCATCGTCTTCTCCTGAAAGACCAGTGCCAAAGCTGACATCTCTTATCTATCTATTTATCTCTCTATCCTTCATGGCTGTTAATGATGCCATTGTGGTCTTTCTTTTTTCCATTTACCATCTGAAGACGTTTCTTCCCCCCTTTTTACAGTTCAATGGCAGCTGCATCCATGGCTGGACAGAGAATGTGCCGCCGCTAAAACTGGGGCCCAATTCTTATACCCGGAATGTCTTCCTCTCCTTATATGTGTCTCTATCTATTTGTGTGAAATAACCAGCTGCAATATCTGGTTATGGGAATGTCAAATGTTCTTTTTGTTTGTATGATTTGTCATAACTGTTTCCTTACTTCCCTTTCCCCAGCTATGTTCAGTGGATGTATTTCTCCATGCATTAGACCTGACCTGAACATAAAACATGAGCTATCTCCCCATGTGCTGGATAGATAAGACAGCGAATGTACCTGATTGTGTTTGGCTGAACACATTTCCTCTGTCCCTGTAGGCTTTTGTATGCCATGTATACTGTGTTTAAGTGCCCTTTCACTGTACTGAGGCCTTCAACGCTGAGAGTGCAACATGTATCATGTTTATTACTATAAGTCCACTCTTTCCATTTGTCAAGTTCTTTGACAATATACTCAGGGAATGCCTTGTTGATCCAAGTTTGTTATGAAATATGTTCACTAAATTGAATAAGAACTGCATTGCTTTTGGATGTCAGTACGAGTGTGTATCTTGGTCCCCTGTTTTTTACGGCATTTTTAGGCTGTTTATAAGTTCTCCAAGTCTCGCCGAGTGTGGGAGGATTCAGCACAATACAAATAGCTCTGTGCACAACAGGCCAAGAGCATGTATTCGCTGCTCATTGTCGATAAGCTGCAATTTACATGATGCTGAGTACATCGGCACCAACTCCCAGTGCAGCTCTCAATGTGAGGCAAAACAAAATACCACTCGGCCCTCTTAGGTTACACTTCAAAACCTGCAACAACAAAAAAAACAACAAACCATGGATCACAGCCCAGAAAATGTGAAGAAATGTTACTTGTAAAAATACAATGCTGCATGATTCAAAAACTGCATCTGTGAGAAAACCATCTCTCTCAGCAGAATACATTCTGAGTGGCTGAACTGGGATGAGTTGGGCAATTGTGCTTAGATTAGCAATGTAGTGTCAAGCTTCACTGAGCAGGTAGTGTAGCACAATGCTTTCTAATTGTATCTGTATGAGTGTGTTGTTTGCACTCAGAGCACATACAGTACCTCCACCAAATATGTATAATCCTCTAAATGTGTACATATTTGTTGTGTTGAAATGGAGAGTCTGCTGTTGAGGAACACAGTATTATGACTATGTGCAAAGATTAATTGTGCCAAATTTCAAGTGAGTCAGATTGACTATTGAGTTGTAAGTAAAATATGTTAAATAGTTAAGCTATCCTACTAAAAACATTAAAAACATCCAGGGTAAATACATTTGGGCAACAGGGGTGGACATTCTACTAGCAGTAAATACAAGATTAGAAATACTGTAGGTGTGTGACAGGGACTAATGTTAACGTCAGGATTATGGATTTGGAAATGAATGTAGTAAGTGAATGCCCCCGTAAATTCAACAATACAACGCCTGTGTGTGTGTTTGAGTGCGTGTCTCTGCAGGTGTAGCTACAATTGTGCACTTGTCAGCTCTACTCTCTGACAGCACAGAGATGAATGCTAAAACACTGCCCTTTTCAACACTCAGGCTGAACTGGGAGATAAAAATGTATGATCCTCATGTACTATACTGTGTGTGTGTGTGTGTGTGTGTGTGTGTGTGTGTATATATATATATATAATATATATATATATATATATATATATATATATATATACCCACACTGAGATAACACTGTTACTGCAGGGGTTTGTGAAAAGCAGTGTGCAGGAGTGAGATGTGTGTTAGTTTAAAAGGGTGTGGTGCTGTATCAGAGTGAGAAAGTGTGTGTGTGTTATGATGTTCACACAAGGTCTCCTCTGTCCCGATCTCAGACACGAGCTATTGGAGGAGGCCAGGAGAAAGGGTTTACCTTTCGCCCAATGGGACGGTCCCACTGTTGTAGCCTGGCTGGAGGTAAGTAGTTACAGGTGTTCCTAACAGTTGATTTAATATATAATAATTGCTATTTGATATTGTTGCTTTGCTTAGATTGATAATTTTTAATTTTATTAAGCTATGACCTCCAATTCCAATTATCAGTTTAAACAAAAGAATTGATTCTAAACCAAAATATTGCTTTAACAATTTAGGATGAATCATTGCAGTGAATCACTTACCCAATTCCTTTGACTGATATTTTGGAATAAACAGTAGAGAAGGCCAAATTATAGAGGCACTGCTGCCTCCTAATGTTCAGCGGATGACCTACAGCCACCAGCCAATACATGGTGGCACCAATTTTAGACAACAATGTTCCAGAGTCAAATGGGATTATTAGGGCTGATACTTGTGATAATACCTGAGCTGCTGATAAGACAGCATTTCGGCCAACATTTAAAAATGCAATTACTGGTAAAGTATTTATTCACATTTTGATGGAATGATAGAAGTAAATATAGAATTAAATATGCCAAATCATGTCTCAGGATATTCGAAATGGACAACCAGATTTTTAGTAAAAAGCCAAGAACAAGCTGGTATATTGGTCCAGCTCTACTTTCAGTCTGGCCAAACTCAATATCCTGTGCTCCTTTGTTTCCTCTTCTCTCTGTGTGGTGAAGCTGTGGTTGGGAATGCCTGCCTGGTACGTGGCGGCATGCCGCGCCAACGTGAAGAGTGGAGCCATCATGTCGGCCCTATCTGACACCGAGATCCAGCGGGAGATTGGTATCAGTAACCCTCTGCACCGGCTCAAACTTCGCCTGGCCATCCAGGAAATGGTCTCTCTCACCAGCCCCTCTGCCCCGCCCACCTCCAGAACCGTGAGTTGTACTGAAAATTGGGAACGTGGATGCAGAATTTTGGTTGTAAAAACATTTGTTGGAGACAGAGCTCATCAGGAGGAAGGAGTAATCTCACAATTTGGGTAGAAATAAAAAAGAACTAGGACTGAATATTTTTGTATTTAAGTACACTTGCTAATTAGATGAGAACATATACCACTATAATCTGTGTCTGTTCAGCCTAACACAGAGACTAGACAGCTAGCCTGGCTATGTCAGAAAGTAACAAAATCTGCAACTCAAAAACTCACTAACTGCAAGTGTAAAAATTAAAATTTTTGGATTTTACAGGTGGGTAGTAACATGTTTATTAGTAAGTGTTCAGACGTTCTGGTAAGCAGATTTTTCATTCGGACAGGGCCAGACCAGCTGTTCTCCCTCTGCATCCAATCTTTATACTAAGCTAAGCCAAAATAAATGACATAATTTCTACTTCCAGAGCAGCTCTAATAAATGTTTTTATGATTAAACGTCCTCTCTGCTTACATCCACAACGCCTCCAGACATGGGAGGTGTCACGTGTGTTGGCGGGTGACAACAAACCGACTAGCAAACTCAGCCGTTACGATCCCAGCGTGCACATTTGTCAGCAATATCGTTATGTGGCTCATCAATTTTACATCATACAGTCTGTGATAAGTGAATATTACAGTGGGAGTCTGTGATGGCCCAGTTTGTAAAACACTGCTCCAGTGTGTCCTATAATTTAACTCTCCAGTTCCATTCTACACCACAGTTACCTCCATGGCTCCCTGTTGTCATGGTAATTGCATGCGGCCTCTAAGGACTCTGCTGTTCCTTAATGATAGCGACTGTTCACACTACAGAGCAAGGACTAATATGCTTTACACTGAGGGTACACATACACAAACAGTGCAGACCATATATCATACAGACATGAGAAGTTGTGTACTGCTATATAAACCCAGCTGAGAATATTCATTCAAGTTGGTTTTTAATTCTCTACACAATGCTATCAATGCATGCAGTAGTCATATCGTGTGAGCCTTTCTTCTCTGTCTTCACCCATTGTAAAATAACACTAGAGCACAGTTTTATGCCCCTGTTTCCCCCGTTACCTCACCCTCTCATCTACCACTTCGCTCCACACCTCATGAAACTTTCATTACAGAGCATGCAACTCCACGGGCCCGATCACTAACTCGCCCAACTGTGACGGGCCCTCCGCCTCTTGTCGCACTTAAAACCCCCTACACACTTTACAGAGGGGATTAATTGACCTTGTAATGTGTATGTCGAGCAGAAAAGAATTGGTCATTTCACTTCCGCTGTTAGAATTGGATCCCCTTCAAAATGCTGTGGAGTCCCTTGCCTTTTAACAGAGATTAAGTCAACTGCTGTCTGTACTTTATGGGATTTTTCCACAGTCGGGGGAGGGTGTCACACAGAGCCATGTCATGAACGGCGGCGATTCATGGCATTTCCACTGCACAGCAAAGTAAAGCAGTTTACCTTGATGATGTGTTAGAGGTGTGCTGGTCACAAACCACATTGAGCCTGTCCCCCTGCAGTCCCTTTCAGTTTACTGTGGCTGTTTATGTTTGTACTATTACTCCCTGCAATATTTAAAACTTATCAGCTGACCAAGTACTGCTCTAATAGGGCTGAAAGTAATCAGTAAACTGATATCTGATATCTGAAAATACAAACAGGAACACAGGACACAGGGAAGGGGAAGAGATAGTCACGAGTTGGACCAGAGCAGTGTGGTGCAGCTATCCCCTGCTGTGAGGCAGTAGTGGAAACATGTGTCATCACTGCTTGGCCCGATGCAGCTAAAGCATGCCAACCTGGGACCATGGAAAAACCCTATTAGACTGTTCTGGATCACGACAGCTTGACGTGCTGCTGTGACTGCAGAACAATCACTGCGGCTATAACAACACGCCGATGCATCAAAACGAACACCATATCTGGTGGAATAAAGGGTCGGTTCACGCAAATCACAAAAAAAACAATGTTGGTTACCTGTAGTGTTTTGTAGCCATGCAGATAGTTTTGGAGTCATCTGTACTTTGATTTCTGCATCCACCCAGTTTTCATTGGAACTACTTTCAGCTGAGTTAACAGTCCCAATGAAAACTACTGACAGCATGTTCTGTGGGTTATCCAGAGTAACATGGACCCTGTTTATAGAAAGACATGTTATTTGCTCATCTTTTAATAGATATCATCTTTTTCTTTATATTATTCCATTCACCTCCACTGTATTAGAGTCGTGGCAGGATTCTCGGAGATGGATCTAGATCTTAAAACAATTAATTAGTTGATCAGCGGAAATAGTAAGCAATATTTTTAATCAATGTATGGTTAAAGTCAAGTTTTTCACTATCTGACATTTTGTAGACAAAACGATTATTTGATTACATTTCTGTAATTTGACCTTTTACTAGTAGAATATAGATGCAGAGGGTTGGGTAATGTGGCGTGCATGTGGCTGTTGCTGTTAATGGTACTAATTTATGTGGGCTTCCTTGTCGTGCATGGTAACTGTGTTATTTGTGTTGTGTACCGTATATCGAAACTGGGATGTTGGGTGTTTTTGTCCTCTGCATATGCCCTTTGACCCCTGGCGGGTTTGGGGTCAGTTCATGGTCTGACTGTGATGCTATAACACTATTGGCTTACAGTGGTGCTGCTCTTCTTCTTTAACACTGCTTGCCCCTCCTACCGGACCTCTACTACCAACCCTGCTGCCGCTCTGTCTCTTGGGCTCTGCCCCTTGTAGCCGTCAGGCAATGTATGGGTGACCCATGAGGAGATGGAGACCCTGGCAGCCCCTTCCAAAACGGTCAGTCCCATTGTGTCCTTTGTCACCCTTTTCTCTCTCCGTCAGTCATGTGTTTGGGTGTGAGAGTTGATATCAGAGGGATTGAATGAAGACTGGGTGGTGACTGATGGAGAACGCATGTGTCATTTATCTCCTTTCCTCATCTGTGAACCTTTTATCAACACTAATTTTAAACTGGATTTTAGTTGCAGGAATGTCTGTCAGTTATGCTGTTGTGTGTGTATGTTTAGCCTGAAGCCCTTTGTTGCTAATGATGGCTCAGTGAAGTCACTTTTTGCTGTATTTTGACTCAGTTTGGACTATTAAGACTGTTTATTCCTGTGGTACTGTGACTCAAACGCCACACAAAACTCACCACACACACCACATCTCTAAAAGTCATTTTATTGCATTTCGCTTCTTCTGGTTTGCACATCAGTGAGTCAGCCTGATGAAGCTGGATGTGAAATGCAGCATTTGTATCCAAAAGAACTCTTTTATCTCATGCAGAAATAAAGACAAACTTCTAGAGATCTGATGTGCAGTGAGATTTGAACTTCTACATCATTGTCAGACTGTTTCAAGCTGTGGGCGAGTATTTGTCGCCATGTGGTGGACATGTTTTTCATTATGTGTCATGGCATGAAGGTAACAAATTGTGATCATCACATTTTAATTAGAGTAAGTAGTAGTAAATAACTGGATTGTAACTCCATCAGTACCTTCACCCTGTAGCAATTCAAAATCATGTCAGGAGAGCGTTTTAGCCTATTGGCAAGCTATTTCCTAACTATATCCTAACTGCCAGACCAGGCCACATTTGAGGGTAAAAAAAAAAAAAAGGCCCTTTAGATTTGAGCTTAACTTGATCACCAGTAACTTCCACAAGCCTTTTACCATGTGCCTGCTGTTAGTTCAAGGTTTATGAAAATGTAGTAGAGGTTGGAAAGATGATATAGGAGCACTATAACAAAACTCTACAACAAACATATTTAGGAGAACCTATTTGACACTTATTGTAAGAATAGCAAATAAAACAATTTAAGCAGCGCATGTTATTCATTATTTAGCATTTCCCTTGTTCATTCAGCATGCACTCATGCACTTTATTAGTTGTTGGGTTTAGCATTACTTGCCTAATGCATTTAAGGGAAACAACTGCAGGATTTGTTATAAAACAGTCAGTGGGTCTTCATTTTACTCTTCTTCTTTGTGTTTCAATCAGAAGTCACAGTCTGAAGAGGGGAGCTGGGCACAGGTAAGGGGGAAACCTTGCTGCTGTTGCTTGTTTGTTGCATTCGTCCACCAAAGGTTGTTTACAGCTCTTACCGCCTATGTAAAAATGTATCCAGCAAAAACATTGGTTAAGGTCTGTTTCTTTTGTGAGGTTCTGAATGAGCAGAACAGTAGTGTGCGCCGACTTGTGTCTTTTCTATCAGACTTTAGCTTATGGCGATATGAACCATGAGTGGATTGGGAACGAGTGGCTGCCCAGTCTAGGACTACCTCAGTACCGCAGCTACTTCATGGAGTGCCTAGTGGATGCACGCATGCTGGACCACCTCACCAAGAAGGACCTGAGGGTTCACCTCAAAATGGTGGACAGCTTCCACAGGTACTGGACTTACCTCACCTCACTCACTTCAGTAAAATTCAATACTGTAAAATATATATTTACATTTTTAGATGGGGGCTGACGGTAACTGGATTTCTAACCTACAAGCTAAAGTCTTTCATTATCAGTTTCAATAACTATTATGGATTTTCCCATTACATGACTGTGTATATGTGTGATTTTCTGACACCAGAACAAGTTTACAGTATGGAATCATGGGGCTGAAGAAGCTCAACTATGACCGGAAAGAACTGGAGAGACGCAGGGAGCACAGCCAGCATGAAATGAGAGGCAAGTGTACCCAAAATAAAAAGTCGTCATCATAATGAACCAAAACAAGATGCTACAAATGAATGCAGAGAGATTAAGCATTCACTGTACTTGCGTGTCTGCAGATGTACTAGTGTGGAGTAATGAGCGGGTCATCCGCTGGGTGCAGAGCATAGGCTTGAGGGACTACGCCAACATCCTGCTGGAGAGCGGTGTACATGGAGCTCTTGTTGCCTTGGATGACAACTTTGACTACAGCAGTCTGGCGCTGCTCCTCCAGATCCCCAACCAAAACACTCAGGTACCAGCTACACCAACACTTTAATAGATGGCTGAAATGGTAATAGTTGAATTTGCAACTCAGCCATGCTAGTAGGCATAAAAGTGTTTTGAACTGAAACCAAAGAACAATGTAAAAATGTATCTTGTCATAAATCATGTCCGTCAGCAATGTCTGGTCTAAATCCCAAATGTCACTCCATAGCTTCTCCACACTGGGTATGAAAACACCTCATTGTGAGCGGAACAGATTACATTTTTTAAGGGCTTTTTTGGCATTGTCGAGCCAGGTGCTGGATATGGGCAGAAATATCACCTGCTTCAGTCCATAAGTAGAGGTATGTTGGTATCAGCCTTCAAAAGCTGGTCGAATCTAAATCAGAACATGCAGATCTGCCAACTGTCACTCTGGCCAGTTGGCATGTGAATTTTCACTGCTTATCTCATCTATAATCAGGTAAATAGGATATGCAGCGCGAATAACGTAATGTGTCAGCTGCCTGTGTTACCATTCTGCTAAAAATAGCTGGCCTTGTGCAAATCAGAATGTTGAGTTTGTTCCCCTTTAGGCACGTCAGATTCTGGAGCGAGAGTACAATAATCTGCTGGCGCTGGGCACTGACAGGAGACTGGATGAGGTGAGCTTAACTATAACCCACAAGAATGTCAACTGAGGTTTTTCATAACATTTCACCTCACAGCGGTGTGCGGTCACTCAATTCAGAGCACTTTAAAACAACTGACACTTACTAATCAATTAATATTCAAGATTATTCAACATGAATTCTTAGCTCACATTGTCAAGTTGAAGATAATGCTCAAAGATGTTAAATAGCATTTTCCAACCAAATCATTAATGTACTAATAGCATAATCTATGTATTTGTGGCAGAGAATTTTCAACTATTTGAGTATGTGATTACAATACATGTATTCAGCAAAACATCATTTTCCAGTATAATAGTAAATTATGTTTTTCCAGTTTAAATTATAGATGAGGAAATCCTATTCAAAAAAATGTTTCTCCTTCACAGTACAGTGACCCAGATACACCCAGAATGAGCCATGTAAAAGTTTCTAAAAGCGTAAATCTTTTTACACAGTACTACAAGTCTGCACACTCAGATCTGTTCATTACCAAAGACAAATGATTTTTGTGAGTACAGTGGTCAACTTTTTGCTTTTTCATAACAACAGACCATTACAAAAGTGATAAGATTTGGAAGAGAAGACCATTAGTCATCCAACCCATGAAGTAAACACATATGAACATGACCGATCAATGAATTTGCGTTCTTTAACATGTTAATCTGACAGGCCAAGTTGTATTTCTACATGATTTATAAGCTCTTATGGTATTACTTACTGTACACTTAAGTTTTACAGTTTGAGTCTAAAAACATGAATGCAATTTATGTCCATCAGTGTGACGACAAAGACTTCCGGGGTCCATCATGGAGGAGGCAGTTCCCGCCCCGAGATGTTCACGGAATAAGTATGATGCCCGGATCAGCAGAGACGCTCCCTGCTGGATTTCGTCTCACCACAACTTCCGGTCACTCCCGAAGACTGCCCCCTGAGGGTAAGCACATGTCTCTGCACCTTATCTCAGAGATGTGACCCCTATTTCATAATTTTCTGAAAAGGCATCTACAAAGCAAAGGTTAAATCCACCTGTTGCACAGGTAGATCAAAGCACCAGACCTGAGAGCAGGAGTTGCTGCTCCTTGCTGTGTTGTGACCATGTCTCTTGTTCTCTCTGACGGCTGCTATGTAGTCCTCTATGAGGCGCTGGATGACAGTCCTGACGACATGTATTTGGATTGGTTTCAAGGTCAGCTATGCCCCTATGAAGGTCCTGGGCTTGTCGGCCCTTCGTGTATTATTATTCTACATATACTCCCTCCTCTTCACATGGTCTCTGCCAACCACTGTCCTGCTGTATCTCTCCTTTTCTTTGTGGTCTCTCACCCTCACCTCTCTCTCTCTCGCTCTCTGCTACTCTTCAGTCTCTCTGAAATCCAACTCCAAGGGTGTTGTTTTGCAGAGTTGCAAAATAGTTGTTTAGTCACCCTGGTGGTAGAAGCTAGGGGGTCAAGTTATGGATTAGGACCCATGCTTGCTGGTGTAACCCTTGAAGTTACAGAAATAAAGCAGCAAAACAAAAGGTGGCTGAGCAGTGCTATGTAAGTTGGCCTGAATCAGGAGGTTTACATAGGTAATAGTATGTCTTGGATGTCTCAAGAACTAAAACTGACAGTTTGTTCCATTCTTCATCCCTCTGCTGTTAAAAGAGGACACTGGCTAAAATAGGCTTTCATTCAAGAATAATTCTGAGTTATTACAACTTGTAGTAGTTTGTGGCCACCATTCCAATTTGTTTTGATTAACAATATAAGTAGTTGCTGATATCTGGGAAAACATTGCTTGAACAAGTCCAACAGGTAGTAAAGAATTTAGCCAGACTATCTAAACCACTTTATTTGCATACCCAAATTCGGACATAGTGCAGGAAGTCACTCTATAAACTGTCATGGATGTTTACAACAGACAGGATTAAAAGGTTTGCCTTCGTTTTTCTCTTCCAAAATTGTTTGGATGCCTGGGGCATTTGTTAAAAATCTGTATGATCTCCTGAATGCTCATGTAGAAGTCCCAGATCTCAGCAATTAACTTCAAGTTATTAGCACTAGTTGGAACGATGGGCAGAGCTACTATAATAAAACAAAATTGACAAAACAATATCAACTCAACATCCACTTACTCACTGGTTCTGGATCTTTCAACCAATACCATCTTCATTAGTACATTAGTTCGCTCAGCTTGTTGAACTGTACATGGTGAAACTGAGCAAATTAAATCTACTGACAGTGTAATGCAGACATAAAGCCCCATACAAGTAAATAAGTGGTCCTTAAATTGAGATTGTAAAGTCAATTGCTGTTTCCAAGGTCAAGATGGAACGGTACAAGGTACCCAGGTACGGTTTCCTGTGTATTACAATTCCTCTTTACAAATTATGCTACCTGAGTTGTGATACATGACTGAAAATCTGAATGCACTTATTTTGGCCAATGCTCTCCTCTAACAAAGGTGTTCCCAGTGACACTGAAACAGCGTTCCTGTGTTCCTCTGTCTCTTTTCTCTGTACTCCCTGGTCTGTGACGTCCACAATACATTCAGATCTTGTTGCTGGTGTTATCCACTCAAAATTTAAAAAATAATAAATAAAAACACAAAACCTTTCAGTGTGTGATATGTGGCTTTCTCCTCTGAGGGGTGACACTACAAGTAATCTCGTGTGAGAAACATGTTTTGCTTGTGATCTCACTCACAGCGTTGAGGACGTCAAATCTTGCGCCTCATGTTTGGGGTGGTGACCAAGTGGAGAAATGTTTCCTTCTCACTCTGGGTCCATCTGATAAAGAGGAGGTTTAAATATTTGGACTCAGATCTTTCTCTCTCGCCGTCTTCCCCTACAGTCGGACCCTCTGCAGTGCAGCGGCTGGACAGCTCCACGGTGAGAACCTACTCCTGCTGAGAGGAGGAAGAGAGGGACCTTAAACTGTACGCTGTATGTAACACAACACAACAGATTCTCGCTCTGTCAAATACACAGCTTTCATCAGAAGTACTTAAAACAGATATTGGATTAAAAAAATGTCGAAGATAAGTGTGTTTGTCTCATTGGCTTGGCGAGCCTCTGCAATGTTTTTGCCAGGTAGCTGTGATAAGGTGATCGGAGAAGGCGGAGTCAGCAGCGAGCCACGGTCTGATACTGATCTGTCTCCCCTTTTTAATGTCTGTCCAAAAAAGATGAGTCAGTCATGTTCCAAGCTTTAGAAATCTGCTTCAAATAAACGAGTTCAGTAAAAGATTAGTTAACAAAGTTCAGTTAAATGGTTATGATAGTTCAAGGCTCCAAAAATAGGCCCTGAGACTTCACAAATCACAAAGTGAGCTTGCCCTAGTTTAATTTTCAACTGCTTTCTTTGTACTGTCAGGTGCAGTGTAATTTCTCGTAAGTATTTGATTTGATACACTACCTGACTATGCTGTCTGTCTGCATCGGTGTTGTAGAGAAATTCCATCACAATTGAAGTGGCAACCAGCTGCAAAGAAAACACTGAATTCTGCTTTGGATGTATTGTTTAGCATGAAAAGCCCAGGTAGACAGACTGTCAGCTGTGTACAAAAGAGAAGAGAAGCAGCTGTGATGGAAGAAAATTGTGACTGTAGGCGTGGTTTACCACAAATTAGGCATTCTAGTCATTCTCTACTCACCCTCATGTCAGTCCAAAGAACACACCTCAGAGTCAGCCTTCTCCAAACAACTCAAGTGGCCAAAAAAATCAAATGATCATAAGTTTTCTCCATCATTCTTAATTTTTTGCAGTCTAACAACATACATAAGGATCCTTATTTATCTTAGAATTGTTCGCACCTTTCATGTACTCATAGAGACACAGTAATGCCATCAGTTTATTTACTGGTTTAGGCATCTGGCTAAGACTTTAGTGCTGAACCAGTATCATTACAAGTCTCCAGCATGTAATAAGTGCAAAGATAAGAAGCACAGACAGATAATGCGGTGCCTGCAGGGTGTGTTTGTAAAATAAAACCAGTAGCAAAGGGAAATAAAAGCAGCGCAGAAGGAGTTAAGTTCAGTGGGGAAAATTTTGAGTTGCCTTCACAACCATCATTTTGTGTTTCCAAAGAATTTGCTCACCCCATAGAGCACCCTGCAGGCTGTTGCTAATGCTTTCATCAGCTACAAGTACTCCCACACAGCAAAAAAGACAGAATACTGTGCAAAGTTCAGTGAGAGTGAAGGGTTGAATACCGGTACAGTACATGTGCACAAGAATCAAACAGATTCAGTTTAACCGTTTGCTACACACAGTATGACTGCCTTACCCATAGCTGCTTGGTGCACACTGAATTAAATTCGTTTAATTCAGTGTTGGTAAACAAGGCATAAAAACTTATTAGGAGATGAAGACATTTTAACGCGAGTAGTCGCAACTTATAACTTCTGCAACACTAGATAAGGTGCGTTTCAGCAGCATTCACAGCTAAATTAGTCAGTTACAGTACTTCCGCTGCCAAGTCAGAAGAAAACAAACTTGAAATGCAAGGATTGCAGCTGAAGCACAAGCCATTATGCTATTGGTGTGGACAGATGCATTGCTTAATGCCAAAGCAAATCTACCCTTGACTGAGTCTCCTGCATCCCCCATAAGGCTTTAATGTCAAAAATAGGTTTAAGGATGTCCACACCAATCACAAGGCAAAATACTGAATATTGTGCATTTCTAATAACAAAATGCTAAAAAGGAAGGTTAAAGCATAATATTATATTGCTGATCAATACAGCTGGGTGAACAATTACTTTGCTAAAACTACCAAAGTCACCTTTGCAGTTATAAGGCCATAATGAGCTATAACTAGTATGGCACTAAATTGACTGATGATTCCAGTACCTCTCATCTAAAAACTACCGATTCTGTATCCCTTTAGGTTCAGTTCTGAATGAAGATTAACTAGAGGATGCTGCTGGATGGGCCAACCTGCCCAGGAACAAACAAATTCTGATGACACGCACTGCCAAGAAGCCCTGCTCTCTTCTGACCCCCCTTACCCAACCCTACTCCACGCCCCCATAATGTGGGCACCAGATGCCGGTGCTAAACTGTCCTGCAGGCTACCCTGTTGTCACCATTTCTACCTTTTACATGTACAGTAACTTGTCGAAGCATAACGTACTGTGTTTCTTCTACAGGAGATGTGTAGGTTATCTGTAAATATATATGCCATTTTTTTAATATATACACACATCTATGTATAAAAAGATATTCAGAGTTTGTGCAAAAAATGTCCCTGCCACCTCATTTAGTGGACTATAGATTAATATATGCTGCTCTTTAAACTGTCTCCATATTACCCCGCCCCTCTAGATCATTTTGTACATATGGTTTTATTTTTTCATTGTGCTGATGATGATTATTATTTTGATGATCCTGTGCTACATCGTAAGTGAGGAAGAGACTGGATGTTGTGTGAAAACCTGCCCTCTAGTGGTGCACAAGTACCACCGAGCCCCATTTCTGGCACCAACAAACTTCATTATCCTTTCTTATGGACTCGCTGTCATAATAGAAGCATTTTAAGGAGACAGGTCGATGCACTGGAACGACATGACAAGCACTTTGATACAACCGCATCAACTCAAACGGCCTGTTCAGTAGCCAAGGACAAAAGAAGAGACGCCACTGCTCTCCGAAGTTGCACAAAAACTTCTCTGAACAAAAAAGCAGGTGGTCGTTCACAGAACCTGTCACTTGTTGTACTGTATGTTTTGTCAGGCGATACAAAGGACAACTACACACACAGCCAAGCTGGCCTTCTCCCCCTCCCCTAAGACACTACGTTAACAGAACACAGGAAATAACTGAAAGACAGACTGCTTTAGCTCATCGTGTGCGTAGAGTGTATATGACCATGTTGAAGTGAGGTGACTTAATGACAAACCTGTTGCTTGCAGTGACTTACATTGGTGTAACTCTTTGTTTCTGTCAGAGTTTTCAGGGTAACCTATTGTACAGCCCTGTTATCTGTCTTTTAGTTATTTCTTACGACTCAAACAAGTCTTACGCTTTTAATTTGTTTTTACATCTTCAATTTGCACGAACAATGAATCATTTTATTTTGTGTTCATTTTTTTTTTATTCTTGTACTTTGGTCAAAACTAAGTGGTGAGCAAGCAAATTTTCATCGTCAATAAAAGAAAACCAACTACCGTCAGTAAATGAGTTGTCTTCATTATTCTTCATAATTCAAAATGTTCATGGCTCAAGAGCGTCACTTTGGCTAAACCATAACCGTACCTAGCCTCTCTGTTCATTAATTATGAATGTACAAAGCTTGTAGTACAGTACGGTTTCAGATTACATACAAATACACACGTTGATAAAAGATGAGAAGGTAAAACTTTCTGACATTACTATCTTAGTATATCTGACTTAGAAAAAGAAGAATAATCGTTACTTCTACTTTTAGATCACTTTTGCAGGACCCTGTGTACGGCTTGTGTTGGCAAAAGTTATCCAACCTCAGTTTTCTTCGTCATCCAACAGATGAGTTCAGGCTCCGCGAGGTCTCAGGGCTTTTTCTACCTGCCTCTCGATGTCTTTGAACACGTCTGGGTCCTCGATGGTTGGACTGATCTGTGGAGAAACAGTTAGCACAAAGTTCATTTAAAAGCAATTCAACAATAATGTGATCAAATATGCTCAGTAATACCCAATTAAACCAACAATTGAATGAATAGCAAATTCTGTTACGTTTACATGATGATTGTACTCTGTACAATGCAAAAACATCTTTAAAATCTTTATGGCTGTGTTCATGGAAATCTTTTATTTACATCTGTAAACATAACTACTATATTAAGTAGTATTTTTTTCTCAGTTTGTCAGCACCTGATCAGCAGAATATTGAGTCAGTAACTAAAGAGACCAAATCCCAAATGAGCCCTCAGCTCTATTTAATGAGTGCAGGGCCTGCTAATGTGTGATCATTACTCAAATTCTGAACTGCAAAATGAGCTTTACTGTCTCCTGAGCGTCTTTACACACAGGACAATAAAAACAAAAAACATGCACAAATTATTTCCCCTCAGGGATTTTATCCTGCAGTATTCCCATCAGTTATTGCTGATGGGAATAATGCACAAAATATTTCCCTAACAGTTGTGTCATACCTTGTAGGGCTTGCCATTAACCAGGTTGGCCAAAGAGGAGCGAGGGATCTTGCCAGAGCGCGTCTTTGGCAAGCCTTTGACAAATAGCACTTTCCTAAAGGCAGCCACTGGTCCAATGGTGGTTCTCACAAGCCTCACCATCTCATTTATGATCTCCTCTTCATTTTTATGCACACCTGACACACAGCATGTGACACAAACAAGCACATAAAATAGTAATTATGGGGGCAACGTATCTTATTTCATGAAGGTAAACAAGGATGTCATCACCAAGAAAGCGTATGTGTGACAAAAATCTACAGTTCTACAGGTACATCTGAAAGAATTTGAATATCATGTAAAAGTTCACTTTATTCCCCAAAATTTAGTGCAAAAAGTGAAACTTTCATGTATTCTAGATTCATTACACAAAGTGAAATATTCCAAGCCTTTGTTTTTGTTTTGTCTTGATGATTAAGGCTTACAGCTCATGGAAAACTCCAGTATATCAAATTAGTATAGAATTTTATAATAAAGAATTTATAATAAAGAAATGTTGACCTGAGAAGAGCTCTAATCAGCTAATTAACTCAAAAAACCTGCAAAGGTTTCTTAAGCCTTTAATCTCAGTCTGGTTCACTGGTGTTCAAATAAAGTATTCCGTGATATTCAAAATTTTTTTTTAGATGTACCTGTATATTACGTTAGTTAATACTACACTATACATCTGCCTCACCATTTTTGAGCACACACAAGGCCAATGGAACAACACCCTTCAGAGTGTCCTCTAGACCCACCACAGCACAGTCTCCCACTGCAGGGTGCTGCAGCACTGACTGCAAAACACACACATATACATACATGGTAAAACCACAAAGACGAGCTGGAAAAACCTTTGTGTCACCTCCTCTGTAACTGTTGTCCTACCTCCTCCAGTGCGCCAGCAGACAGCCTGTGGCCTGCCACGTTGATGACATCATCAGACCGGGACATGATGTAAAGGAAACCCTCCTCATCCACATAACCTGCATCCATGGTGTCATAGTAACCCTGATGGAACAGAAAGTAATGATAACATTATGTTCCAGCATAATGTGGTAAGAGCCCTGTTTCACTCCAACTACAGAAAATCTTAGGTTGTGTCTAAAAATCACTCACTACTTTCTATAAAGTAAGTTTTGTAGTGCTGTCCTAATGTATAGTGAGAACTTTTGTATTACAATATAGCCAACTCAAAATATCCCACAATGCATTGTGAAAAGTAGTGTACAACTGATGGTCGCTAACCAAGCCAAACATACCATCACGCACTGCGCTGATGGTCCTATGGTCCATCAGGTGACGTTGATCTGGTACGTTATGATTGTGCGACGAGAAAGACGTAATTAACGGTGTAGAGAGAATTTCCTGAGCAGTGTACGAAACTGTTGTTTTCATTTTGTTGGTGAGCTCTTGTATAGTCCTCTACATAGAACTCCCCGGATATGGAGTAGGGAGGAGTGTATGATTTTCAAAGACAGCCTTACTAAATTTAAATTGTTGCTGTCTTCAGTATACACAATTTATTAGAGGTTGTTCATGGATTAATCAGAATTATTACATTTCTTCATTCAAACCTCTCAATGGCTGCAACTAGTTCTGTAATGAAAGATTTCAACACTAGAGGGTCCCATTGTACCACATACCTGACTACCCCCTCAACTACATTATTAATCCAGTGTAAAAAGGAGAATAGGAACAGTACAAATACAATTATTCCTATGTAAGTTTTTCTTTCTCTCATTGTTCATTTATTAAATCAGACAGCTGTGCAAATTATTCCAAGTCAAATAAACATCAGAATGTGAGCAAATGATAACACATCTTACAGGGAACTTAGTGAAGTAGAGCTCCTTGAACAGTTTGTGGTTCTGCCACAGTGACAATGCTGCACCAGGAGGTAAAGGTAGCCTGAAGGGAAAACACAGACGTAAAAACGAATTTCGTTTTATTCCAATATTTCTCCTTAAAGCTTCTGCACCTGGCATAAAAGTAAAAATAATAAGGGTGAGTCTATAAGGCTTTTGAAAAGTTACATTAAGCATGGCATTACACAATACTCTAATATGAAAATAAGTAACTATCTAGTTGAATGTATTTTAAGGTTTGAATCATTTTAAATTCAATGACCATTAATGGCAATCTGGTAGATTTTAACCAATAAAGCCATTACAATGTGTGACCTCACCTCACCTGACACGCACGCATGCACACAAGCGACAGATAAGAGAGCTCGGCCTTTCAGCCTTTGTTTATCCAGAGACTACCAGTAATCCCCCTTCATGACCAGTGACCTGACCAAGATGGTCCCATTTCCCAAGTTTGACCCTAAACATTCCCCTGCACAGATTAATTTCACTACACGGAGAATGTTGTCTGCTTTTCACTTAAGGAGTCTGTCACACTGGTGAGTGCTTCCCATGCACAAAAGCTACAGTTGAATTAATAAGATGTATTACAAAGCAACATAATAGAATTACAAACCAGTTTATACACATATTTTTTACTTGACATTATAAAACACAGTGCATAGAATTCATTACACGTAACAACAACCTCACTGTGCAAATATTAAACATGATTTTATGAAGCTGTGGATATAGCTTTTGATCCAACAATGAGTCTGGAACATACTTTGTGGTTACTAGAAGGAAGAACAGTTACACAGCTGTTGCCATCTGTTTACAACTCTACCTGTCATCATCCCTGCATGCATATAGATCTGAATTCCTTGGAAATCCCCTTTGTAAGCACTGAGTCAATACCAGCAGTTACAAAGAACAGGGTAATGGAGTTGGAGAGTGATAACAGATAAGTAGCAGGCTGGAAGGTAAGGCAGCGCAAAGGACTGCTGGAGCTTTTGATGACGCCCACTTTGCACAGGCAGCTCTCTTACATAAACAGACGTGTGTTTCATTCTACAACCCTGGCAACAGACAATAGTGAGGTTCTCTGGAGTCATATACAACCTTCCCGACAGTGAATTATTAAGATAATTGACTAAAAAAAATCGGACTTTCAATTGGATCAGAGTGTGTAAATGTTTTATGTTACACATGCACGTGCAAGTGATAGCAGAAAAGTAAAGCATTGACTGAGCTGCCTGCTCGCATGGCCGTGAACATAAACACTCAGCTTACCTCACCACAATATTTCCCAGGGTTCTTGGCTTCACCTCCAGCATGTTATCATCGATCACTGTAACTAGTGGAAAGGGAATAGCAAGTAATTCATAATCAGAGGCGGTGTATAACCCACTGGCAAACTGGAAGAACAAAAATATTAAATATCCTGCAGGGATTTACCAGCAGTTGCTAAGTTTTATCCATTTCTGTTTTGGTTCATCTGTATCTGTAATTGAGGGGCAGCAATTCTGACTTAAGTACATTTAAATACTGACCAGAAATGATTAGACAGTAAAGGTTAGTTTGTGTTTAGTACTTTAGATATGGATCGACAGTTCTGACTCTTACCATTGTAACCTGGAACAGGTTTGCCAGCCTGACCTGCGGGTGGCGTGAGTGAGTTCCCCAGACCAATACATGAAGAGGTGATGGCTGAGCCAGTTTCTGATGAGAGAGAGAGAGAAAAAACATAATAAAAAGGTACATGTAGGCTCATATTTGTGTGGGAGACACAAGAGCTCTGGATCTGTGGTACAATGCCACAGTTTTGACACAACCTCATAGTTTTCTGGCTTTTCTGCTCTCAATGCAAATGTTGAACCTTCTAATGGTGGGCTGATCAAAAAAGCCTGTGTGGTATTGGGATATACTGCTTCTGTGAGCAGCATTAACCTACATAATACAAAACTATGACAGCTCCTATGGGCTCTTGCCGACACCACCATCCCGCTGTGCTCCACTTACAGCAAAGACTTGCCTGTTCATCAGCCCTACTAGGCCACCCAGAGAATGAATAACCGAATCGATCCAGCTCAGTAAGCAAGATTACATCAGAAATCACACAGCAGCAGACCAGCCCAAGATCAGCATCTGTCTTCCATGTTAAACTGAAATTTGAAAACAACGTCTGCTTAGAAACACTTCTATTTTTCTGTCTCTGGGTGTTTGTCGGTTTCTCTGGGTGAATACAAGAACAAAGACGCAGCTGAATGCCTCCATCTGTTTGTCATGTTTTCCTTTTCCCAGGCAGAGAATATTACTTAACTCAGCTGATGTCTCAACTAACATTCACACAACAGGTGACCGACAAAACACTGCTTTCCATCGTTTTTCTACAACATATTTACATAATCAGGTACATCTGCCTGTTTGTGCAAACAGCATGAACCTACAGACAGTGAAAAAACATAAGCAAAGGGGAAGATTAATCTCACAGACAAGATGGAAATTTAAACTGGCTGTTCAATTCAAAATTAGATCAGAGAGCAACTTCATTTCAGTACTTTGGCTTTTTGACACTAATACAGATGAGAGACAGCTAAATAACTTAATGTGCTGCCATTTTTCTTCACCAACATGCAAATGTATGCAAATGATGTTCCAAAACGTAATCAGATCATCTGCCCTATAGGGGGTGCATGCAGTGTAAATATGATGTTTCTCATGTATTGTTCTTAAATAATTGTGGCCGGTGTCATGGCATTTTCCATTTCCAGTTAATATGCAAATTTATGCAGCAAGGTGCACTAAAACCAAATCAGAATTGCATTAACCAATGCAACTGGTTTCTTCTAAAATATGCAGTCAGTGGCAGTGCTCATGGCAGGAGTGACTTGTCCTCTGATAGGGCAAAGGCCAATCGCAAAACATTCAAGCGAACAAGCCAGCTATGCAAATGACAGCTCAGTCAATACAACAGTGTTGTGCAAAAAGGCATTTTATACTCCTCATTAAACCTTAAGAGAAAGCTACAGCTACAGCGGACTTCACATGGGTTACACCCCTGTCAGCTATAAACAGAAAGACTGGGCTGCAGTGAGAAACTAGCCACCAAAATATCTTGAAAACATAGGGACAAAATATTACATCTACAGTTAAAGGTGCAGTGAGTTTTCTTAAACAAAGTTTTGTTTACATTCAGTGTTCCCCACTGTCTGTATCCTTGAGGTCTAACACTCATTCCCTTCCTTATATAATATTTTCAAAATCTGCGTTGTTTATATTCATGTTTCTTGGTGCATTCAAGCCACCTGTCAATCAGTGGAATAGTGTGAGCCATAAGCAGGAATGTCTATTGTGTCCTTGCATGTGCGTGTTTACGGAAACAAAGTTAATGGTATCCACTCATAAAACACTACTGGTCATAAACTCCATAGGGTACCTTTAAGTTGCAACGTGCTGAATGCTTTAGGATAAGGAGCATGAATCCATGAGATTCCAACAGAGCTCTCTCCAGTACATCTAATTAAGTCAAAAAGAACTATGGGAGAATCCTCTCCAGTATCTTGTTAAAGGTACCAGTTCTATCAATCAGAGTGGATTTAGACTACCTCTTCCACCTACTATTAGTCAAACAAGTGCAAACAGCTTTAGACCTTCTTCCAACTTCAGCACAGCAGGCTTCAAAGACATGAGGCTCAGTGGCAGGAGGTTGCTGTTGGCTGAGGAAGGATTAAGTTATCAAATGAAGAGAGTGGGGAGGGTGGGTTCTAAGGCTGAACACATTACCCAACCACAGCGGCCTCTGAACTGGCAACCATGTGTGCCATTCATCAGTGACAAGTTAGCCATCCCTGCAGGGTATAAAGGCCATCACTGTCAGCTGACAGCATTCAGTACCAATGATAAAAAAGAGATTAGATTTTTTTAAGCCTTCAGGGGGGGGGCATTTAGTCCCACCCACCTGTTCATAGAGCAGGTGTAGCAACACACTACTACTTGCTCTGCAACATTTATGGCCATTATATAACCAAACGGAACTGGAGGGAAGGGCAAATACAGCAACTTGTAAACAAAAAAGTAATAAACAGTCAGTATCAGTGCTTTTGGAGTCGTGGAAGTTTTGGATAATCAGTATTTTGTGGAAAAAAAAGGCTCTGATTTTGTGCAAATTTAAAAAGTAACTAAATTACATGGGAATAAAAAGTTACATAATAATTAGCTAATCAAACTGCATCATGGACCTTGATGACATCATCTTATCCACTTTAAGTAACAAGTCAATATTGACAAACCGATGTGTCAGTCTGACCCTGAAGGACGCCATAAGGGTCCTTTAAAAGCTCCACTGAGTTGCACGTCGATTAGGGCTCGACACAACCACTGAACCGTGTCAGCATGAGTGGTGTGTTTAAACTTGGCTGTTTACAGCAGGAGCCAGGGCTTGCTGGCGGCGATTCAGGCCCAGCCAGTAAATTCAAAACCCAAATGAAAAAAGACAATATAATTGGACCATGACATTTTACAAGGCATACAGGGAGACAGCGAACTGGCTGTGCAGCTTTCAGGCACAAAATCAAACCTTCACAAAGCATTTCTCAATGATAATTAGTTGCGTCACTAAAACACTTTGTCCTCACATTTATATGAAAGATTGTAAGCTGACAAGAACTGAGCTCAAGTTTCTAAGTGCTGACTATGCAATAGCTTACTAAGCATTCTTAAGATTCTTTCCTCAGCCCACAATATTTAGGCATAATACAGCGAACACAGCAGTTGTCGTCAGTTTACATACCTACACCCCGTGGCTCAGAGAAGGACAGATAAAAACATGATTAAAACATCTCAAAAATGTTTCCAGGTAAGCAAAGTGTTTTAAACAGTCTGGCATTTTGAAAGGTTTATCAACATGCTGCAGGGGTTTGCATCACATTGAGGGAGAGTTTGATTCTATTATTACTTTAATAAGAAGACATTATCCCTATTGATGTAGAAATATGACTACTGACACCCTTCGCACTTTAATAAGTGTCAACAATGAAAATCTTCTCCAATGGGTTTTTCTGTCCAAAATGTGTCTATTTTAGGGTCAAGATGAAAACTTCCTTGAGGTGAAACCACTGCTTCTATTCTTGTCAGATTGTGCAGAGAAGATTAAATATGCTGGGTAAGAAAGGTTGACAGCACACGCTGAGACAGGTGAATGAGAGGGGAGTGAAAACCTTGTCCATGGGCTTGAGTCGATCACACACACACACACACACACACACACACACTGTGTGGTTGTCTATCTGCTTGTCTGACTGGCGGTGTAAATCTTCAGCGCACACATACATGCACATCTTAGTATCAGCCTTCCTCTACTCCCTTTTCTGTTTCTTTTGCTTCTCCCCGCTCCCTCACGCTCTCTTTGCCTCTGTACGCAAACAAATCAATCTTCCTTCGACCTGTTGGACATGAGCTTGGCATTGTGAGAGGCATTTTTGAGTGTGATGAATGAGTTGAGGGAGGGGAGGGTTGTTGGAGGATGCGCGTTGGAAGAGCGGGATAGGCAATACTATGGCGCCTTGTCAGCTGAGAAGCTGATATCGAACAGGCATGCTCATTACTAGTACCTTGAGGGAGTGAGGGAGGTAGGGGTAGGCACTGCTATTCAGGAAAAACAAACAGCTCTCTGATCCTGCACTCTCCTATATCTGCAACTCCACTTCTTTCCAAAACAGATGAAAACTGTCTTCTCAAACATTGTAACCCTACCTTTCCACCCCTTCACACTGAGACAAGATCAACATGTGTGGAACACAGGGTCAATAGCCACAGAGTGAGAATGGGCATCAGAATGACCGTTATTTCTTATTTCACCATTTTAATTCTACTTCATTCTCCACCTTATTTAATGTTCAATTACTACTTGAATCTGCTCACCTTGCTTCTGGTTTTCTTTTCCCCTACACTCACATACCCCTCTATACCTCTGGTCTCTTAATGCAAACACACTGGCTTGCCCCGCCTCTTTCTGTTTCTCTCTCCCTGCATGCGTAGTGTCTGCTGACTTTCTTCATCAGCAGTATGTTTTATAATACTCTTCACTCTCAACCTTGTTTCCAGCAGTGGGAAGCCGCTTTCAGCAAAAGAGCTGTAAAACCAACTCTCGGTACCCTATCTGCTAAAAAGCAGGCAGGCAAAGTTAGTGTGAGTGAACATAGTGGAGTATTTAGCAGTTTAAGAATCCGCTGGTTATGTAAAAAGGAAACTGTTTACCAACAAGTTTGCCACAGACCAGTGTTGTCTTTACAGTCTGTTTTCCGCTGCCATAAAGTGACCAAAGGTTTGCTAATGTACTGGGCTACAAACCAAACTGCAATAGTCCCAATATTTATAAATAAGTGTCTGAAATCTGCCTCGAAGCCGATTAAATGGCTTCTGGTTGTAGCAGCTCCATTGAAAAATTTAAATTAGGTGTCAGGTGAATGGTGTTGCTTGCACCTGCTGCTGGATGGTGGGTTTGTACATCCTTATCTTAATTGGGCTTCTGTATTAATGTTCACCTTGAAAAACAGCACAAATGCAAAGTACAAACAACATTTAGAGATGGCATTGAGTTCTTTAGCTTGTCACAGAGACATTTTGGTTTTCTTGGAAGGTCAGCAGGGTCAACTCTATACATACAGTAGGTGCTATCAACACACAAACAAACCACACACAACCGTGTCAGACAGTCATGG